GATTTAATGGTTCAGACAGACAGGCAAAATCTTAAAAAAATTCTTGGTATAATTTCAAGAATTTCCTAAATCAAAGAGAGGTCACTGAATTTTTTTTTTGTTTAATAAAATAATTTTTAAATAAAAATTATTTTATTAAAACCCTCCTGACCAGTTCAATAAATTTCATTAATGAACCGATTCATTACATCAACTATATTTTAGAAGTAACTACCATATTTACAATCTACAGTGAACTTTTGACATATGAGGACTTTCTTTATATAATTTATAAGAATATAGTTCGATTAACACCTTAGAGGCATATCTGGTAGCCTAATTTAATTCAATATCATGTACCTACACATACATACACAATGTATCAATTTAAACAATCGATCATTTGCTTTCTTTCATTTAGATCTTATACGAAATTATTCAGAAGTTTTTTTTATCTATGTTGACTATAGAAACCTAATAAATTTTTTTATTTAATGTGAATGAATTTGTTTTTTATTATAAATATGAAGAAAGTAAAAGAAAACTCAATCTAAGTTATATTTTTTCTTAATTTAATGTTGACTTTTCTTTTTATACTTATATCATAGTCGAAAATATTTTATTATAGATTGAGCTGGAAAAAAAAAATAAATTCACTAACATTTCTGTTAATAAAACTGACTAAAACTTATTTTCATTTAATTTCTTTAAGATTAAAAAATTAACCGAACTTGAAAAAACAAATTGGATTGAATTGTGTAAGATTTTTTTTAACAAATATTTGATATTAAAAAAAATTTCTAATGTGTAACATAAAAGAAAAATCTAGGAAAAAATGAAAAGAAATTATTGACCTCGTGCCTTATGTCTTCATCAATTTCAATTTCAAATGTCTTATCAGTCACCTTAAGCTTCCACATTTTCAATCTAATTTCTTCTAAATTTTTTCTTCTTTTTCCTATAACTCTTTCTTTTGTTTGTTTTTTAACAAAATTTCTCATTACATTTTAGTGTTTTAAATGCAGTAGAAAAAACATATTCATAGAATTCTTTTGAAAAAACAAATACTTGTTTTAATTCTATTTTTTATTATTGCCTTCTACTTTATTTCTAAATTTATATGTACATATGTAGGTACTATATAAAATAATTTTTGTAATTATTACATTAGTGATGATGATGACAACGAAGATAATGATAACATGAATTTTCTGTTATGGCCTCTAATATTTGTCAACGTATACTTATTTCGATTTTATATATCAAATTTCACATTAATGTCCATCATCACTATTCCAATTAAGAAACACGCTTTTAAGTGACACCTTTTTAATATAACTTAAAAAATATTAGAACATCTCTATATCGCATCGTACCACTTTTCTACTCTAATAAAAATCTTTATAGACACGAAAATGAAATCAAAAAGTACATACATATACAAAAATAAAATGAAATTGAATAAATTTTTTCGAAATTTCTATAATTAAAATGTTCGTGTGGACATTAATTTATTTGAAAATCAAAATAAAATAAAAACAATTTTTTATTAATTAAAATTTGTCTGAGTGAAATTAGAAGTATTTATTTACAATAATTACGTGCGATACAAAGATTTTTTATAAGAATAAAATTTAAAATGTTTTCGGAAACTTTCACTTTTTACGGAACCTTTTGTAAATTTTTATAATTTCAAAAATTATACAAAATGCAAATATAGTAAATGCAATAGCAAATTGAAAAATTAATGACAAACTAATATTAAATTATGCACATACTGCTAAGCATTTCAATTGCATTTAATATTATAGATTTTTTGCGGTATTTGCGATGTAAGATCTCATCGAATCCAACTTGTTTTATAAACTTTACTACGCCTTACAAAATATGCGCATTTTAAAATATTATAAATGAGAACGGCAATAGATAAAGTTTTTTTATCCTTATACTTTCTGACACCCATACGATTGAGATTTACATTAGAACTGCCATAAGAAAATTTACAACGATTTTTTTTTTGGTTTTTTTAAGTGACCTTGTTTTTTATTAAAATGTGTGTTTTATATTAAATTTAAACACTGTAGAGTTTCAATAGTTTCTCAAGTATAAATAAATTGTTTTTAAAGTTATAACTATGGTAATTAAAACCAAGAATTAAAATATTTACTATAAAGAAATTTGTGCAAAATTTCAATTACAAATTGGGTAGAGTCTTGATTAATGATGAAAATTTTTTGCAAATTTTATAGAATACTATACAATCAGCTTCTTCACGAACATGTTATCCCTACTATTGTTTATGAAAAATTTGGCTATACTGCAGCCTAATATTATAGTTTATGAGATTTTAATAAATTACCTTGAATCCCTATTTTGATCGTATTATAAATCAAAATATAATCTTAAAATTTTTCCAATTGACAATTCATGTTAATTTGGTAAACTTATTTTAATTAGTTTCTGAATCACCCCTGCAACAAACGTATATATTATTTATAAGCATATGTACATGCGTCTAAATTAATTCGGAATTCAACGTCGAATAACAAAATACATACATACATATATGTATGTTTATGCGTATGCCAAAATCTCAAACAGTTATTTGTTAGCTATCTATGATGCTGCTAAAATACAATGTATGTTCAATTTAAAAATGTAGAGTGTACAACTTCTTTTTAAAATAATGTCTTTTGTATTCATTAAGAACTCTGAAATTCTTACTTCATAGACATTAAGTAGCTTTCCAAATATCATACAAGAAATCATGATTTGAAAACTTTTTCCAGCATCATATCATTAAACTCTGAAGTACGAGTATTATGTTATTTATCATTTCAAATTATTTATGGGTAATGAAATGTTGTCCTTCTAGCTGACCATAACCCATAGCAAAAAATAATTCTTAATGTCTAAATTTTATTTACATATTATGTAATCGTATAATAATGGTATATCATATACGCATATATTTTCATAAATATTATTAAAAGTGTGTATTAGTAGAAATGGTGTTTAGTGAAAAATCATGAAACTGGAGATAGAATAAAATAATAAAGCAGAAAAAAAATAAATCATATAAAATCAGTTATCGTTCAAATTTCCTATCATTAAATTTCCTATTAAACTAATTACATGCAATTATTTTCTCTAAAATGCTATAACATTATTTTATTACTTATATTTTAGAATGAATGGATATTAGCTACTTATAAAAATATAAATTTCAATGATAATATTTTAAAAGTAATTTTAAATTTTCACATTTTAAACAGCCGCAAACGGTTTTATTTCGTTTTCTTGTTTTCTTTAATCTCTTAATTTTCTTTTACCACTATTTTTTCACTATATTTTTTACGATTATTACTCAGGTACATATAAATATAATATGTATTATTATACATATTTAATATATAGTATACATGTACACATACATAAGTTTGTGGGTTAATATTCTATTTTTATTTACGTTTAGCACGATTGAAATTCGCGATAAATCTTACGAAAAGAAAAAATAAAATTAAAAATTAATTTACAATATTCAGAAATATGCTGAATATTATTGCCACCTATAAACAGTACACCGTATCAAATGAAAGTGAAAACTAATATGAACAACTAACACTAAAGTTCTTTCAATAATTTCCTATTTCATTTATTTCACCTGGATAACGGCTTCCAGAATTGCTGGTAATATTAGAAAAAAAACTTAAGTCTTCCAATCTTTTTTGTTATTCTTTTTTATTTTATTTTTGTTTTCGTCTAGGTCTAACTAGAATATTAAATATATAGCCTTATATTCGAACATAGCGTTTAATAAGTGTAATTTTATATTAATAGATATTTTATATTTGAAAATAACTTTTATCATTTCTTTCACATTTTTAACTTGAAAAGTTCTCTATTATTTCAATTTAATGCCGTTTTCATACTGTATTAACTATTTTATACAAAAAAAAATGATTCTTTAGGTCATGAATAATTGAATATTAAGACATCACAAACACTTATACATATGTATGTATATACTTATACATAATATGAAATAGCTGCATGTTAACATATTGTAGTGATAAATTTTTATGAATCTCAAAATATAAGAATATTAAATAGCATTATAAATCCGTTAATAAATATTAGAAATAATAATATTGTATTTGGTAAAAGTGTTGGAAAATAGGTTTATTTCATATGTAATTTGTACATGTAAGTATTATTCGAAAACGGAAAGCCTTTCATCAATCATTTATATGATCATTATGTAGGTCTATTAAATGGAAAAAAGAATTTGCGGACATCACATTGCTCTAGCTTTAACAGCTTGGAAGATGTCATGGATATTTGTCAGACAAATTTTTTTATACCCGTACGAACGTATGTTTTTGATCAGCGTCGAATTCTGAGTTGATTTATAGCTTTGCCTGTCCGTCCGCCTGTCCGTCCCAGCAATAACTCAAAAACTAATTGAGCTGAGTTCACCAAATTTAAGTAAGTGCCAAAACCCTATTTAAATTAGACCGGTTCGGGTAGCTGCCATACAACTTCAAAATTTATTTGGCTATATCCCAGAAACTATAAAAGCTATGGAAAAATTCCTTAAAATTGCTTGGCTCTTTCTGGTTTAGCTGCCATACAACCTCAATAGTAGTTTGACACACACAGTATTTTGAAAAAAAAACAGTACTGAAATATTGCATAAATTAATATGGTATAATACAGCAACTTAAAGTCATAGTCTGTCCCATAGTCAATTATGGCATATTTATTCGTACATAGGGTAACAAGTTCGTACGAGTACCACAGAGTTGACAAGGTCAACTCTATTTTTTAATTTTCTTTAATTCTTGCAAACTGCCCCTAAATCTCTGAGCAAGAAAAAAAGAAAACTGTTTGGCCTACAAAAGAAAATTATTTTTTTTAATTACTCAACGCTTACAACCAAGAACTTTTTGAAAGTAAGGTTTATTATTACATTGAGAGATTTTGGAAGTTTAGAAAAACAAGAAAAAATAAAAGTCATTATGACTGTTGTACTTTGAATGATACATTGATTTGTAGATCAATCGGTCATCATCTTCTGTTTTGCTTTTTAGCTACAACACTACAATTTCTTAATTTTTTTATGGTATTTCTTTTATAATAAAAATAAAAATCATCTTATGTCTGATTTATTTTCACTTGTACTTAATACATTTCCAATTGCTACAGTTATCAAAATTGAAATATTATTTATTTTTTATTAAAATTTGTAATGAATTTAAATTAAAAAAAAATTTGCCTTCATTTTGTTTTATATAAAACTAAGAGTGTGATAAACATGGCATAATCTTGTTTTTCAATTTTAATTATAAGTGTAAATGTAACGATATTTATTTATCATTAGAACTTATAAATTGAAACAATTATTTCCTTGAAAATCATTATATTTTTTCAAGGTATTAAAACAATGAAATCGTAAATTTTTTTGGAATATCATGGATCGGAAAACGAACCAGGGGTTGAATTTACATGTCTAAGGAACCAATTTGCCGCAATTTGTTGGAATATTCAGTACTTTTTGCTCCCCGTAAATAACTAACACTTTTCGGAAAATCCGAATGGCATAAAGTGAAATATCTTAAAATTTTTCTAACAAATTCATATTTTTCTACACTGTAAAAAAAAATGATGTAAAATTACTACAATAATACTAGGAATCTGAATTCCTAGTATAATTGTAGTGTAAATGCTCGACGATAGTAAAATATTACACCAGCGAGTAATTCACGAATTTTACTTTTTTGTAGAGTAAATTTTTTACTAGATTGTAGAGGAAATTTACTTTACAAAATAGAACAAAAGTTACTCTTCGATGAGGAGTAATTTACTTCACTAGAGTAGAAGTTATACTATTTATTCGAGTAATATTGCGTCATTTTTATCTTCCAATATTTCTTATGGAACTTTAAATTGCGTTATTGAAATTTTTACAAATATTATGTATTCTAATATTTATGTAAAAATTTTCGGCACTGGAATACTATAAATGGTTTTTTTACATAAAAAAGAGCAATAAAAAAATTTTTAATTTTAAATAACAACAAGATATCTTAAGGTTTTAAAATACTAACTTTAGTTGAAATATTTAAAACATTACCTTTTTTGTACATTTTACACATTTTGCAATTTATTTAAGAAAACTGAAAAATTTCAATATTTTACTTAAAACTAAAATATTTTACAAAAATTAAAAAGATTCAAAACTAGATATTAAATCAAACATATATGTATAAATAAAAATTTTTGTTTTGTTAAATATCTTGACATTTATGTAAATATTTTAAATTTTTACTCTGTAAAAGTATGTATTTCAAGCTTTATTCTTATGATCAGTTATATATATTAAAATAATTATTTTTTCAAATTGCTGATGAATTTATATAAATGATGAATTAAAATTAAATTTAAAATATAATACTGTTTTTTCTATTATTTAAAGAGAATATCATTAACAAAAGTAACTATCTCATCTTTATTAATCTATCTTATTCTTTTAAATTTTTTAAGCCAAAAATCTAAATATTATTTCATTTTAGTTCGAATTAGTTTAATTTCTTTATAAAATATTGAAAATTGATTTTTTTAGAACCTTTTAATTTTGCACAGTGGTGGTTATAAATAACATATACGTAACGCAAAATTCTAGGACTGCGAAATTTGAATATACTATGTTAAATACATAATTGTAGCAGATAACCTGGCTGAGTAAATCCACAAAAGTAAAATTTTCCTCCTTTACTATTAGTATTTTTTCTGCAAAAATGTACGCTATGCGCTGTTCAAACATAGTATCTAAAAAAAGGAAATGTAAATTAAAAACTGGAAAAACCTTAAGTTGAATGAGTTATGTAAGTGTGAAAACAAAGAAAAATACTTGAAAGAAAACTTACCAACTATAGCAAACCAAGGAGCATTCGTCGGAATGATAATCTTTCATCGTGGTTCCAAACTACAAGAAAATTAAATTTTGTTTATGCCATTATATATGGAATATATTTACCTTAAATTTCATATAAAGCAAATTAATTCTTTCTTTGAAATGATTTGCTATAGCATTGAATGTAGACCCACCCCCTTCTTCTTCTTTGGAATTCTTTGCAATTTGGTTTATTTCAGCTTTGTTTTTTTTTTTCAAAATTCATTATAAAAGTGTTTGCATTTAAATTTATCAGCAACAAAACAGAAGAAAAAAATTTTTATTTATAAATTTCATATTTTACCTGCACTTTTATTTTGCACTTGAAAGTTTTATATTATGTTATTATATTTTATATATGTATATATAATTTAAACAATTAATTTAATTTTATTATTTTTTAATATACTTAATTTTCATATTTTTATTGAAATCACTTTAAAATTTAAACTTATAAATTTATATATTTCTCTAAACACAACCTCAACCTGATCGCTTTCTATTCAAACTGAGAAGAAATTCAAAAATGATGACTTGGTCAATAAAAGTTACTTTACAAAATAGTAATATGTTATAAAATACTTCGTAAAAAAGTAAAATCACTTTCACAAAGAAAATTTTACTCTACTTTGAAGTAATTTTCAACTTGATATATTATTATTACTCTCTTTTAAAGTAAAATCACTATACAGCATTAATTTTGCTCGATTTTGTCGTCAATTTACTCGTTAATCGAGTAAACTGCAAAATTACTCTCAAATCGAGTAAAATTTAATATGCCATAGCGTATATACTACATTAATTGTAGTAAGAATTACTATGTTTTTTAGCAATTTTGCATACATTTTTTACAGTGTAGGTATGCTAACTAAAAGCTTGCTACGGTCCTTAAAATTTGAAATAAGTATTTAAATGCATCTTACGAAACATGTTCATTTAAATAGACGATACACCGGTTATGTGCTGATCTCACCCGATTTTTTTTAATATAAGATTGTTTCCCCTTTCAACTGGTATAGCTTCGAATATACCAGTTGAATGCAAACGATTTTTATATTCATAAATAGACTAACTAATCGAATACCTACCTTATTTTATAGAAATTATATTATTAATTACGTGAAATTATAAATAAATAAGATATATGTATGCATGTATATAACATATAAATATTCTTTGATTATGTATACAAGCTCCAATTGATTCAATTATATTAAATATTTTAATATATGTAAGTGTTTTTATACATACACACACTTGCATATAAAAACATTTTTTGGATTTGTTTATATTTAAACATTATATTTAAAAAAAATATTCATTTAATAATTTATATTTGTAAATATATATGCATGAACGTACATATGTACATAATTTTTTATATTAATTTTTTATATTTTATTTTAGAATTAACAGAAAGCAGAGAACTTGAATTTAAAAGCAGGGAAAATGAAATTGTTTAAAAATCTATTATTAATAGCCAACTTGAATATATTTTGCTTTTCAACTAGTATAATGGCCAATTTGATGCAAAATCCACAGCTACCAACACATGATATACTCTATCAATTACAACAACAACAACCACAACAACAGCAACAACAACAACAACCATCACTTTATTCATCACTTCATCATCAAAATTCTCAAGACCACCTTAAAGCGAATTTAAATAATAATGTAGATAAAGAGGATCTTTTTAATCCCCTGTTTAAAACTCCATCGTCATCTTTAATATCATCACAATCGTTATCTTCCTCTGCACCGTCCCTATCATCATCAATTTTATCTTCCATACTAAACGGTCAGTTGCCAATTGATGAACAAGATACATATAAATTATTACAACATTTAAAATCATCATCATCTGAAGATATCCACCATCAATCTTCAACATTATCTTCATCTCCAACTAATTTAAACACAAATTCACCACCATCACAATCATCACCATCGTCATCTTCTCAATCATCATCACCGCCATCATCAACGACAACAGTAGCACCTTCATTACCTTCTCCACCAATTTCTTCTTCATCCAGTTCAACTTCATTTAATTCGTTCATATCATCCATATTTCCAACGCTTTGGGCTGCAAATAACAATTTTAATTCACATCATTCACAATATAAAACTGATGATAATTTAAAATCAAGAATATTACCACCGATTTATATTCAACCTGTCGTTGTACCATATCCATTTATCATGAATCCTATGCAAAATTTTATATCAGATTATACATCTAGATTTATAATGTCAGGTTATTCAAACGATCCATCATCAATATCATTTTCAACACCAACAACATCACCAACAATGTCATCATTCGCAGATGATTATGAAAAAGATACAATGGCAAGAGGCAACATAAGACGCTCAGGAATAAATGCATATACAAATTCACCTATTTATTATGTTCGTTTACCATCACCCACACCAATTACTTTATACCCAACGATTAGTTATGCCACAAATACAGGATCAAATGTGCCAGGGAATTCGCGACCTACCCGCACATTTAGCTCCACTGCATACCGGAATCCATTTGCTGTTCAAATAAATCCTCCACAACCAATTCAAACTATTGCAGCATATTCACCGCAACAATTATCAGCACAATCAACATCTAGTGTTATTCCAAGCTTAAGTCCAATTTTAAATTTACCTATAAGTTTTATATCCAATGGTAAACCAAATGGAATTTACGAATTAACAACATCAGATAACACTTTAAGTGGTAATTCTGTGTCATCGATTCCATCAGCAGGGGATGCTCTTGGCAATTCTATTCAATTTGGATACCATCCACATAACAATCATCATTCACAGCGTATACCTACAAATCATTACTCTCAATCAACATCATATAATCCGTTTATTAATAATCATCAAAGTGATTCTTCATCTGGTACAAATTCATTTTATAGACCGTCAATTATTAGACCACATTCTCATCCACATTATCAACATTTAAACGACATCATCGGTGATCCTGATAGTAAAATAACAAATTTAAAACGACAGTATTTCTTTAATGGCAAACCTGAAGAAATATATGTACTTTCGCAACCAGCCTCAACTGAAAATCAATATCAACTCCAACATTCAATTTATCCAGCATTCCAAACACATCGTAATGATTATTATTAAATAAATTATATCTATAAATAAAGTAAATTTCAAAAAACTATAATTTTTTATTTTGGTAATAAAACATTAGTAAGTCAACAGAATCTGCTGATGTTAAAAACCAAAAAAATCAATCACTGTTAAAAAATCACCAAATCGGTTTTTTTAACAAAGTCAAAAAATAATTTTTCTAAATTTTAACAAAAGTTCAATACGGGTACATTTATTTGTACATAACACAAAAAAGTCCTTATGCTAGGAATTTGCCATTTTGTAGATTGTATAAAATATTCAAGAGAGATATGAACAAAAGGAACGTACTCCTTCGGATCACCGCAGCCAACGATTTCTTTTTGTAGCTTATATACCATCCCAAATAGTATGAGTAATAATATAAAACTATGGTATTTTAATCAACTTATTAATTGAATATTCATCTCGTGAATAAAACAGAATTTGTTTATAATATATAAATTTATAATTGAATACCTTACACATTATTTTGAATATACATATTTTTATCAAATTATAACAAAGGTGATAAACGTTTCCGTTTTATTTAAATTATTTATATTGTCATTGTAATTATTGCTCATCATTGCCAAGTTATAATCTTTTACTATGCATGCATTCATTTTTAGTTACATATAGTTAATGCTAATCTAATTGTCCTCTTATTTAAAAAAAATTTCCCTTTTCTTTTGATTTTTCCAGAGTACTCAAATATGTACTTAACAATTGTCATATACAAATTAATTTAAAGTTTTAATATTAATATGAAATTAAATTCATATTCCGTTTGTAACATTTATTTATGATTGTTATAAAGTAAGTATATTTGAAAATATATCAAACTATAATGTTGAATATATAGAGTTGAGATATCTTGAATTTAAATATATTTTACTTAATTGAATAAATATTTCTATCACTCATGTAACGTATATATAAGTACAATTTATATCTACTAGGAAAAACTGTAAAATTAAAATTCTTGTTTATTTTAAATAATTTTTTAAAATATTACTTTAGAAGAAACATTCTTGTAAAGTAATATTATTTTTTTCTTGTTTTTCTTTTTTCACTCCTATAGTGAGGAGCATAGGACTAGTGCATGATATCATGCCCTACTTTCATTGCAGCATAGAGTTTTTAACTAGGTAGATGACTAGCCTGCTCTAGTTTTTTCTTTTCGTATTAAATATTTAAGTTTATGAATATTTACTGTTTATTTTTCTTAGTTTTTAATATCGAATATTATGAATATATGAAAATTACTTGTATACTATTTACAAATATTTTATATTAAGTTATAATATTTAATATAATTTTTATAATGACCTTGACCGAGGTTTGAGCTCGAGACCTTTCGGTTAAAGGATCGGTGCCATATCCACTACACCAATAGTCAGATAAAGTAATAACATAAACTATATTGATATTTTCTCTAATAATTCTCAATAATATGTGCATATTGCCTATATAGCAATTTCTTATAAAATTTGTAGTCTACTTCTTGTTTTCTTTTTCTTTATACACAACTTTTCAATCTATTTGAAATCCATAATTTGTAATATAAAAGTTTATAATGTTCTATAGGGGAATTCAAAAAAGTATTTAAGTTCATTTTGTGAGGCACTATAAACCATTACTTATAACATGACGTGATAAAAAACTTGTGCCGAAAAAACTGACGTCATCAAATAACTTATTAAGTTTATAATGCTGCGAACTTGTAGCACTTGCATAAAGTTAACCTTAAGTAACACCTGATTACACATGCACAATTAAAATACGTACTATATTTCTAAAACAAAAGTTTTTCCTAAGGTTTGCAGGATTATTATTTTATCTTTAATGTTTATACATAAATATTATTTACTTTTAAAAAAACTTTTCATTATTTGCCTAAAAATTTAAATCACGTAGTGATAATTAATTTTTAATTTTCAATATTACTTTCTACGAATTGTTAAGATATTTTATTTTATTTTATTATTCAATTAGTTAAACAAGTAAAAATGCAAAGAAAAAAGCATGAAATAAAAAAAGATTGTCATCTGAAAAATATTTCAACATTAAACAATTATCAATCCTACTCTAAATTTCTTCTTTATAAAGCAAGATACAAAAAAAAGACAAAAGCAAAAATTTTGGAAAAAACCACAGAACGTTTTACAATTATTTAACTACAATAATCATGTTAATTACATTAGGCTTGTCCTATAATCAAATCAGTGATTCTTTGCCAATTTGTAAATTGTTATCGCATACAAAATCACTGCGTTATATGATTGACAAGAGGCCACCTTCCTATTATATAAGTTCAGTAGTTTTATTGGATTTCTTTTTGTTTTTCTAGACAATTACATAATGTAATGTATGTATTTTCCATTTTACCGTTTATAATGCATGTGTTTGTAATATTTTAAAAATTACGCTTATGCGATATGCATGTTGTAAGAATTTTTAGGTTTTTAATCGTCTTAGGTTATTTCAGTTAAATAGGAATATGACAATATTTAAAAATAATATCTTTTTATTTAATGTTCACAATGATTGTTTTAATTTATTTTATTTTGTATCTGAAGATTAGTCAAATTATTTTTTTGGTAAATATTTGGCAATTGTAAGATTTTGTAAAACTTCTTCCGTTCAATTTCAAAAGTTAATATAAAAATTTAATTCTTCAAAAATTTCGCTCTCATTTACCGAAATATATCTCAAGAAATTCAAAATTCCTATGTCAAACTTAGAATTTTGAATATTCTATAAAAGAAATTGTGTCACATTTAGTATTAAAATTAATCAATTTATTTAATTAACTTAATTGTTTTATAAATACACAAACAAAAAAATTCTCAATCACTTCCGCTTCACAATTAACACTAAAATTCTTTACGCTGAAGTTGTGAATCTCAAGTATTATTGGGGATTAATGACTTTTGCAAACTTATTTGCCTATCATTCTTTTCATTATATTTCTTGTATATTTTTTGTATGTGTTTTTATATTTATTTCTATCTCAGAATATTAAGTTTTTTAAAACTTTATTCATAAAATTTTAAACTTGATAGCAAACACTGTCTTTATATCAACCTTGTTATCTTATAGTAAATTCACAATAATCACTTAAGTCATTTTTACTCTTTTTTTTTTATAAATATTTAATATGAACCGAAGAAGATAGTGCATAATATTACTAAGATATTTAAAAATCATTCATTTAGATAATTTAGGCAGTAAGTTCTTTTTGGTTAATGAGGAACATATAAGTATAGATAACATTTTTTCTAACATATCTCACAAACAGAAAATACAACTCTTTAATAAAATATTTAAAACTTATAATTATTTTACTTTATTATTTTTGGCACAAATACAATATTACAGAAGAAATTGCATAAAATACCTCTTCCCTAATATCAAATATATATACTATGCATATGCATGCATACATATATATAGGTATATATTGTACATAAATTTTATTTATAATACTCGTACATGATTGTATATATACATTATCCACACATATTATCTAAAATCTAAATGAATACATGAATTTATATACATGAGTATGTATGTATGTATGAAAAACTCCAATTAAATTAAATATACAAGTATGTACACAATATACATAAGTTATTAATTTTTTTGGCTGTGCTCATTTTAATAACAGTCACTTTGTGTAAATTACTTCATTTACAAAAATTTTTAAAGAAAAATAAGAATAAAAAAATCAAATTATGAAAAATAAAACCTAAATCTGAATAAACAGTTTTAAAATGTTTTATTCTTGAATACACAAACAAAGTTACATACATATATCAGCATAAATGTATATGTTACACTTGTAATATATGCAATTTATGTATGTAATGTTATATATTATAAAAATGTATGTACATAATATAATATTTGCGATAGTAATAAAATAGTGTACAGCAGCGCCAAGCCATGTCAATCGTCTAAAAAAATTCATCAACATTTTGTTATATAGAAATGAAAAAATTCTAAATAAAAACGGTCTCACGTGGTGATGTGAAATGAATTTCTAATTAGGTAACCAATAATGTACTCAAGTAATAAACGCAAGTGCCTTAAACTTTTTGCCAACTAAAAAAAAAAAAAATTATTTTTTTTTTTCATTTCAATTTTGTTAAATTTTCTTTTCCATTTACTCGCTCTGCTTTTTTTTTTTTTTGTTTAACTTCTATTCTGTTTTTTAAATTTATGGTAAATTCCGAAATGATTTTTCTTCTTCCCCTTTTTTTATCGAATAAATTATTTAGTCTACGTCTAAAGTTAATAGAGGTGTACAAAATAAAATAAACGGTGCGAAAAAAAAAGTTAAAACAAGTGATCTATCGGAAATATTGTTTATTTGTAATTTAACAGAACAACGAAGTACAAATTACCGTTACCATTGTTCGAAAATTTTTTAATTTTTTTAATTAACAAAAATTTTATTTTAAATTATTTAAAGGATTGCAAAAATTTCAAATAAAAATTATTAATTTAAATAATACTGATAGCTGAAATAAGGATTTCTTTTTCCATTTTGGACAAATTAATGGTAAGCATAAGGAATTTCTTTTGATATTAAAACTTGAAAGTGAAATGTATTGAGATCGTTATAATTAGGCCTGCATGTTACGAGTATATGCACAGGTTTTGATATTGTGAATATAAAAACAAAACGACGCATAACTTAATTTTTATTACGTGTTTAAATTTTTCTATAATGGGTGCCGTTTGTAAAATCTTGAATAATTAGCCTAATTTACTATTGTCATATCTTATACAAGTTAGCTTTTAAAATATTATTTGATTGTAAAATTTCCAAAAATAATAAAAAATCAAAGAAAAGTTTTTGCATTATTGTATAATGTATAATATTTTTATATAATTATATAAATTAAAATTTTATGTAATTATATATAATAAATGTTATATAAAATTTAATTGATTTTAGTGAATAAAAAAGCATAAAAATATAATGAATTAATTTTTTTGAAATATGAAATTTAATAAAATTTTAGATAATTTTTAGATTTAATGTTTCATTACTACCAAAACATTTGTTCATTGTTTTGATATTTTTAAGTAATAAAAACGAGAATGTTGATATCCTGCTAAAATACGTAATATGTATTATGTATGTAGGCAAATTAAGTAAAGTGTAACAAGTTGGTAAATTATCAAAAAAACATTTTGTATAGAATCATAAAAAATAACATTAATATTATATAAGTATTTATGTGCATATAATGTGTACATATATAAAGTTTTAATGACATTTGAAAATAACACTTGTTTTTCGTTTTTATCTTTACAGAAAATGATGTCAAATTTTAAAATTATAATTATAATATTTTCTGTACTATTACCAAATGCTTTAAGTGACACAAAGCCAATAACGTCAGATCTTTTGAATCGTGTAGAACGTCAATTAGAATTTATAAATCAATATGAAACTGTTGGTAATTCACTTAATAATAAAAATAATGATTACTTTGCTTATCAGGACTTATCAACGAATATAGTTCCTCAGCAACAATTTGGGAACAATTACGACTTTCAAATACCATTTAATTTCGCTAACCCTAAAACGTCAATATTACATACAGATCAGGATAACTCAAATATATTTTTACCATCATATTCTACATCAACAAAACTAGCAGCATCAAATACAATCGACTCACCAATATATTATGTCAAATTACCACCAGCTCCATATAAATTTTTGCAAGGGTATGGTTATATATCTCAATCTCCGCTTAATATATTACCATTTCAACTACCGCCCATGACAAATCCAAATTATCAACAATTATTGGAACCCTTAAGGAATACATATATTAATTTACCTCTAGAATTTCTTTCTAATGGAAAACCAACAAATGTTTTACACATTAATAATAATGAAGAATCTTATAACCAACAACAATTAAAAAGTTTCAATTTACCAACAATAGCATATCATCAGACTCCTTATAATAGCTTTGCTATACCAAATCAAGTTGAAATGTTAATGAATTCCTTTCCAAAATCTTTATCATCGTCTCCGAAACCGAATTCCTTGTTAAAAAAATATAAAAATACACTTAATTTTAATGGAAAACCAGAACATATCCGAATTCATTCAGGAGATGTGGCAGAAAATTACGAAGAGATGTCATAAACTGATTTTATTATGCAATTGTTTTTCTTATTAAAATTATTTTTATCGCCTACTTTCTACTGATATTTTTAAGACTGTTTAATTTATTTTTATATTATTTTACTCAAAACTGTATATCTAGAAAATACAAATTTAATATATTTTCATAAAAATTGTTATTAATTTAGTAAATTTTTTGAATGAAAGTACTTATTAGTTTCAATCTGTCCATCCGTCCGTCCGTGGACATGTTTACAAAACTTCGACACCCTTGAAAATAGAAAGCTGAAATTTAATATGTACATAGATCTTTACTAGAAACTTATTTCCGTAGAAGAAAAATTTTACTTATCTCCTTAAAAATTTTACTTACTTTTTGACGACTTATATTTCCGAAACCGCAAGCTTCAAATTTTTCAAATTTCTATAAACGCAAGAAGCTAACGGTAAAATCCATGACATTAAAAAATATAAATATTTTTCTTAGCTTACGCAAATCGAGCATTTTTTTATTTATTTTTTTCTTTATTTCAAAAATTGCTTAAATCGTTCATCCTAAATATATGCAATCCTAGAAATAGTTTCGTTTATAAGTGAAAATAGTTTTAATAGTGTGGTACGTCTACATAATAGACTACATTTAAAAGCAGTATTTTCACTTATTGAAAGGAAAAATGCTACAATACAAACCATTGGTTTGATCCGACTTTTTTTTATTACTTGTGCACATACCAATTAAGTACGATATATCAGTCGAATAGGCTTATATGCACACCTTTCTGGCAGAATTTTTATGCTTGCATTGTTATTATGAAGCTTTCCCTTAGGAGTAGGAACTCTATTAGAAAAATTTCAAGTGAGTAAAAACTGTAATGCATCATATAAAAAATTTTTTTAATCCGTCTTGCAAGTATGCGTTTTCGAATTATGTACATATTCTATTTAAAAAGTAACTTCACGCCCTGTTAGCAGAAACCTAAATTCATAGTTGCAGAAACCTAAATGTTAAGCACTACTGTATTCTTTTTTTAATTCCTTTTTAAGTTAGAAGCACCTTCAGCACTTTGACATAGTTTATAGCCCCTTTTTTTGAAAACTATATTATATTAAACCAAATTAGACTCAATAATATTATGTTAAAAAAATGTGAATGTAAGCTACAATATTTACTATTGTATCAATATTGTATTATTATAATTCAGTGGTGTTGCCTTACAAAAGTTTTCTTTCTAAACCTCAATCAATATTTTTATTATTTACTTAAAACCATTTCCATTTTTCAATTTTTGAAATCAATTTTATTGACATTCACGCTAAGAATAGTGAATAGCGTCTCTGCCTATATTCGACGAGCTTCAAGTTATCAAAAATTCCCACTTTCAGGAATTTTAGCAAAAGGATATTGAATAAAAGGATATTGATAACTTTGTACTAAATAAAGTGATTAGTGTGATATTTATGTTTGTACAATAAATGAAATAGTGTTACTGATAAAGTGGACTCAGTCCATGTGCGGATACTCGGACAATAATATTTATACACAATATTATGTACATATACATTTAAATGAACATTAAAACGAATTTATCTTTACAGTATTTTTTAAATCATATAGTAAATAAGTATATATGCGCTTAAAATACGTAGGGATATACATATGTTCATACATACAAAGATATGTGTATAAAAAAGTTATTTTTCTTTCAGTATATATAGATGAGGTTTGAAATAAGATGTACATACATATAACTTTAAATATGTGAATGAATGTAAGTATGTAAATTTGCTGACCCGAATTGACACCTTTTTCACTGTTGTAAAAATAACACATTTGTAAAATAAGAACAAACTATGGTAACTGTGCCATAATTTATTTCATCTAAACAAAATTGTTTATTTGCATTTTACTGCAAAGAAAACGATATGCAGTTAATATCATCTTTAACCAAAAACGAAATCGGTTTTTGTTTAATGTTTTGTCAATAAATCCAAAAATTAAAACTATTGTTTTTTATTATAAATCATTTTCTAAATCAAATAATATTAAATAAAGCAAAAACTTAAAATTATGGATACTAGTTCTCAAACTAAAGAAACGGTTAGGGAAGAAAGAGAAGAGAATATTCCTGACGACAGTGCTTTTGAATATAGAAAAGTTACCGTAAAGTTTCAAATATCTGATACTGAAATGGTAGCACAAGTTTATCCAAATTGTCTTACAATTGCTGAAATAAAACAAGATATTGGAAAAAAATTTGAAGTTGATCCAAAATTTTTAATTTTAAGGCAGTTTGAAGGTGAATATGACGACGATTATCGTTTATATGAAACATGTAGCAATGAGTTCGGTATCGTTGAGTTTTGTTTGGAGATTTCCGATAAAGCAATTACTGAACACGGAAAAATCCCTGAACTAAATTTACATGTATATTATAGGTAAGATCAAGATAATTAATATGTGCTGGTTCAAATTTTGTATACGTACTTTAAAATAAAACTGTTTTTGTGATAAATTGCAGCAAATTTCGCCTGGCCGATTTTATTACCGTCCATATACCAGAAGATGAAACCACAAATACTAAAAGTAAAGATATTCTAGTTGAAATTCATAACGAATCAATTTTAAAACCTTTTTTGGGAGGTTATAAGGATAAGGTAACAGGTAATCTTAATATCGCTTGTGGCAAATAAGACAAGTAGTGTACCTATATGCATATACACACATTCATAAATTTATGAATGTATAATTCTATTATGTAGATATGTGTGTATATACGTATCTAAATGTATTATGTATTTTTTTACTATGTTTCAATAATCTCTTATTCGTAAACAAGTTTGTTTATTATATAATAAGTGAACATATTTAATCGCATTTGTTAATTCTTATTTTGATACTATTTGGAAATTTGCTTTGGAACCTACAAAAATGTCGTTTATTTGTTTAAAAAAAAAACGTTACAGGAATCGATTACTTCGACGCTTTTACGCAAACTGGACCACCAGTGGAAAAAATTAAAACTTCTGGAATTTACAGCAGAGATACACAAACAGTACTTGAACATACAAAATCCATTGTATGAACTTCTTTTCTTATTGTTATTATAACTTTCTATTCAATACTAAATAATGTCTTTGTTTAAGGATACAATGATAGATAGCTCCACACAAGCTTTTGGCAATTCAAATAATATAATTAACGTGGAAAGTGCTAACGATGTTATTATTATTCCAAGGAAATATCAACCACATGATGAAAAAAAGAAAAGCGAAAGTAAATTTGCTAATATAGTTTTGATTCAAAGGAATTGGAGGCGCTATTTGTGGCAAAGATTGATAAAAGAAGCCGCTGGGGAGTTTCGGTAAAGTCTGAAAAACAGATGCCTATATACTCACATACATATACTTTTAATATGATTTTGAACCAATAATATTAGTAAGAAGCAAAATATTTCTGTTTATATAGCCGGTTACAAACCGAACAAGCTCGTAGAGAAGAAACAAGAGGCGATACGTATATTGATAGATTTTCAAATGAAGCAGCAACTAAAACATTTTCATCGACAAGAGAAGATTTTGAAATGTTAATGGCACAAGTTGGACGTTGGAAGCAAGCAGAAGTAACACCACGATTTGTTTAAATTTTAAATTTTTTATTTATCAATTTTTTGACAAAATAGACTGCCAGAATAAAGAAAATGTTTGATGGTGGCCCTAGAATTGTCGAATTAAATCTATTATTAGACAAGGAAATCGAACTAATAAATGGAATTGAACACCAAAAACAAATTGCTAAAGAGGCTAATAAAGAAATAAAAGAAAATAAAATGCTCGAGAAATTGTCGAAGCCCATCAAATGGATTGGCTACAAAAGTAATAAAATTGTAACTAATCTACATATCTAGATACATACATATGTACATATTTAAAAAAGAAAAAATTTAAATAAGTTTTACATAAAATAATCTTTTTTTGAATTTTAATCATACGCATATATAAATAAATTATTTAATAGATTTAGTAATTGAAATGGATCTTTTACGTACACAACGTGTAAGATATCTTAACAGTATTTATCAAGAATTGAAGCAAAATACCAAGTGTAAATCAAAAAGAATTGAAACTCTTAATAAGGCGAAAAAAGCCCTAGAAAATGAAGATGTTACAGCTCAAGTTAACGAAGTAATATTTTTTAATAAGCCATCCACTTTTTATAGATTTACATATATTCTACTTTTTATAGATTTTAGATTTATTTGAACGTGAAAAAAATATGCTTCTGGCAACTAAGCATTGTGAACTAGATGTATTGCATAAACGACAACAGTTATTATTCTTAGATATTATTAAGTACTGTAAAGACAGGAAGCCTGATAGTAAGTTAGATGGAAGTTTGTTGCTTGTTAATAATTAATAGTTTTCAAAAGAAAATAAAATAAATTTATTTCACTTATGCTTATGTATTGTCCTTAACAGCTCGCTGTTGATTTTATTACTTGTTATTTAATTAAAATTATAAAATTCCGAATTACGAAAAACTATTTAAGAAACTGCTTACTAATATAGTTTATATATATATGTATGTTTTTTAACTGTTTGTTAGAGCCAGAAACAAGAATGTGCGATACTTGCAAATGTATAAAACCTATAAATGATTTTGCATTAAGAACCAGGCAAACATCGATTGAAACTTGTAACCGTTGTTTTTATTTAATGGTAATATTTTCTTGTTTTAAATTTGTTTTTGCTCAATTCAAATATGAAGTGCCAACTATAAATGTTTTCTGAATTTGGCTTTTCACGTCCTAGAAAAATAGAATATGTAAATATGAAAGTTTAATGAACCTAAAATTCGTATGTACATATGTATGTACATACGAATTTAAGGTTTTTGCTAATTTTTTTTTATAATAAATGCATATATGCATTTATTATAAAAAAAATTTTTTACTAACAATTTTTTCAACTTTTCATTTTGGCTGAAGTCTATCAGAGTAATCTGTTAAACTTTCAAACTAAACCAAAACCAACAACTTAGGCTCGGTTGTTCATAATTCAAATTAGTGAAGATGTTCTACTTGAGGAAAAAATCCAAATTCAGTAGGCATTCAAAATTGGCCTTTCAATTCATGATTAAAATAGAAAATGTAAAAATATAATGAATTTTCAAGTGCTATAATTATGTACACACTTACATTTGTAAATTATCCTATATTTTTTTAAATATTTCATAGAACACGACATCTGTTCTTGATAATTCGGTATTTAAAGCTATACTGAGATCAATTCAAAGAGACGAAAGAAGTCGCAGAACTTTAAGCTCTTATGCTTTCATTCTACAAGGTAAAACAAATAATAATTATAAGACATTCCCAGATTATGATTTATTAATTACAAATATTTTCACTTTGAAAACTTGTTTTTGATCTTTATATACATACATATGTAAATTCATATCTAAAAATTCATAATGAAGAAGAAGATATTAAATACATTATTTGCAAAATTTGGCATGGTCACTCTATTTTAAGTAAATGCAGTGATATAGAAGACTTACGGTAATTTTTTGAATGTAATGTATATTTATAAACACTAGCTAAATAATATATATTTTTAGCCTCCCACGCTGGAATAAAGCTGATGACTGGTCCCCTTGGAATTGTGTTTGTCTTACATCAGCGGAAGCTCGTCACCACAATAAGCTAAACAGGTTAGAAGACACATACGATGAAGGTATTAGAAAAATGATAAAGAATAAGCATTTGCTTGGAAGAACAGCATTTAAGCGTCTACAAGCGGTTGAAACTGATTTTGTAGAATCCGGTGAGTGGTGGAAAGTTGGCCTTAATCAAAAAGCAATATAATCGATTATTTTTTTCTGCTGTCTGATGATCAAAATTTAAAACAAAAATTCAAACATTAAAACAATCAAATTTTATTTTTCATCTTTGTTCGATAATTGTATGTATTATTTTGATTTATTAAAAATTAAATTAAAATTAAAAACAACACTAGTTTTTAAAATAATTGACTAATTTTTTTTATTTACAATTTCTTTAAATTTTCCTTCTAAATACTGTACTCGTTTTAATAGTTTATCGCTATTGTTAAAATCGTGATAAGGAACGGGAAGTACTTTGTAATTAAGTTTTTCTAATAAATCAAATGATAGGTTCATAATACCATTAAGAGATTTATTTGTACCATGACATAAATCATGAAAATCTACGACCATAATTGCAACCCTATAGACAAAATAAAAATATATATTATCCAAAAAGAAACCGAAAGTTTTTCACAATAAATAAACCTACTTAATAGCATCTGGTTTTTTACTGTCAAACGGCAAGGGATTTCTATTAAAATCAAATAAGCATTTTGCATCTAAAAGATAATTTATAAGTATTTTATTGTAATATACTTATGTTATATCTACCTATTAAGAAACCCATTTTGCTATCGACAAGACTCATGGCATTTTTAGAAGTTAAGCTTTTTAGAGCATCAAGCATACCATCAATTAAAATTTGTTTTGATTTGTTATGTGCCATAGGAACACCATTTATTTCGTTATTATCTTGAATTAATGGCCCAGAATAAGACTCAAGCAGCAATTGTGCATAACCATTCACGTTCAAAAGTTTCATTTTTAAATTTGGAGTGAGACCGAACTTTTCCTTCTTAAGCTCATTGATAAAGTCATTACTAATAGGAAAAACGTATCATTATAATAGCACAGTTCATTAAATATTTACCTTAAAACGGATTCAACTAATTTTGCGTCAGCTATCCTTAACAAAACTAGAGTCCAAACATGGTTAAGCCAATCAAATGGTTTAGTCAAATCCTGCCTTGTAACTTGAGCAGCAAAATTTTTAAGTTTTTCAATTTCCGAAGGCTTGTAATTTAAAATTGCTAACGTTAAGAGCAGAGCATTAAAATCTTGAATTCTTGTGACATCGTAGTGTCTAACTACCCAACTTGACAGAGATTCTAACACATCAATATCCCTGTACCTTAAGAGACCTAAGCTTGTGAGAATTGAACCAACAACTGCAGATTTATTGGTATTTTTTGATAGCGTCACTTGAATATCAGAGCAAATTTTTGCGGCAAGCACAGAATCTGGAAAATTTAATGACGCCATAGCGAAGAGAACATCGGCACATTGCTTTAAATCTAATTGTTCTGAACTACTACTTAAGTTATAAGCCAAAGACCTTAACAAAGGCGTGCTCCTTCTTTTGCGTTGAGCTAATGTAGTCATAACTTTCACCATTTGGCTTGGACTTATACTAGCTATAAGTTTTGCAGCTTCATCATCACCAGTAACACCCAGTACCATGTTTAAGTCATCTGTTCTGAAACCAGATGCACGTTTATTTTGATTTACGTTATTGTTACCATTGTTTTTTTGATTTACTGTACGACCCAGAACTCGACAAACTTTTAAAAACCTAGGATCATTTTCAAACTCATTTAGTTTAACTCGGTTAATTGAACTCCATTCTGCTAAAATAGACACTACTTTAAGTGCATGTTTCCTAGAAAGAGATGTCTGCGTTTCAGTTACTCCAAGAAGACCGTTAACTGTTTTTGCATTTATGATTTTTTCTGTCACAGAATCAGTTTTTTCAGAAGTATCATTATTTAAAACCTGTTCTTCTTTTAAAGACGCGAAAGCTGCAGCAACCATAGAACCTAAAATTTTGTATGTACACACATACTTATATGTACACATAAATTGTATTTTAGGCATTACGTATATATCCTACCTCTTGCTTTTCTCTCGTTTCCACCCTCACCCAATTCTGTTGTTGAATTCGCAGGTGCTGTCATGGACGCAGTTCTTCTAACAACGTTTTGTAAGGGGTTTAGTGCTCTTAAAGAAAATCTTAACATACTGAAAAAATTATACAAATTTGTTTACATAACCTAATAACGGTATCAAAAGTTTAATGAAACGAAAAACAATTACCTGTAATCTTTCCAGAAGATAAGTGAAAATATTTGAGAAAGATGTTAATGTTTTCTAAGTTTTAAGCACAGAATATTGTTTTTTAAGATAGTTTAATATTTCATACCTACTTACAAATTATAAGATCAGATTTTGACAACCTCCATAAATTTTGACATTAAATTAATTGTCAAATATTTTAAACAATATTGCCAAACTGATAGCATTTCAGGAAAAACAACAAAGATTGTCAAAATGAAAAATTTTAAACATTACTATTAACAAAAAACTTTGTATCTAAGTCACTGTTTACCTAATACAGCAAAATCTACGATTCCATCTGAGTTTAAAGAAAGTCGCATATGTAAACCTTGCAGCGCTCAGCTAATTTTAATTTGATGCTGAATAATTTTCGTAATAATAGATCTAAGATAACCTGTTTTTAAAAAACATCAGACTACTTCACTGTAGTTCCTTAGAATTATTGAGAAGAATTATAAAAGAAACACATTCAAATATTTTTGTGTCGTATACACGGCTGACAGAAATATAAGATATTTTTGTTATTTTATTCTTTCCAGAATTTCATTAAAATTCAATATAATCTCTACTACTACTACGCATACTGGAGTATGGACACATATTAATATATCTATAAAATTTGAAGGACATTAAATTTTACACATTATATATAAATAAATTCTTTCAATATTAAACTTGAACATTCTTGGCCCGAGAACAAATGTTTCCAATTTTTAGTAATTAATTATATATATGTATATAAATATACATACATACATATGGATGTAAATCAAAATTGTCAAAATTGAAATACAATTAAATACTTATACGAAATATGCAAAAGTTAAGGGAAAGTTTTTTATTCTAGTTCAATTTCTAGAAGTACTACTACAATTAAGAAAAAATAAATCTTAAATTCTTTTTAATTTTTTTATGTATAAATGTCTTGTTACGCCTGTACAAAACAATATGGCTTTTTTTGCAAAGAAGTAAGCTAATGTCGATAATTCAATAATTGATATAATTTCCAAGTTGGTTTATTGTAAAAGCTTAAGCAATTGTTCAAATTCCAAATATTTGTTTTACTTTCTAGGCTGGATGCCCCAATTGCGGATTTTCTTTTTGCACGAAGTGTTTAAAAAAAGAAATTGAAGTACCGAAATTTAATAATAAAAAGCAAAAAGTTTGTTTGAAATGTTTTGAAATATTATCTAAAGTTAAGGAGCAGTCCGATTTTTTAGCAGCTCAGAATATTAAAACAACCTTGGCAGATAACCAAATATTCAATATTACAGAACCGCTTGCTGCACCAATACTAGAGCCCGTACACAACGCTGAAGAAGTTTTCCCTGATATAAAAGATACACCTGAATATGAAATTAAACAAAATTTAGATAGTGAAATCACAAAAAGGTTGGCTGATTTAAAGGCAGATATACCCTCAACATCAATAGATAAAAAAATGGCTGAACGCTTGGCTGATCTAAAAGGGGAGGAATACAAACAATATCATAATAAAGATATTTTGGTGTCCAAAGATACGCGAACGGATCAAGAAAAAATTCATGATTTACTGAAACAATTTGTTGAAGAAAAAAATATCGATGAACAAGTCAATGAAAACAAAATTGATCCAGTTAAAGATATTGAGAGAAGATTAGCATCATTAAGAGGCCAAAACGTTAACTCCATTAGTAACTCTATTCCTAAAGATGAATCAAGAAATGTTAACAAAATTGTTCAAAGATATATGGATGAAGCAAAATTGCCAGATTTTGAATTTAGTGAAGAACAAGAAATGATGGCAGTTTCCAAAAATTCGGATTTAGAAGAGTTACCTTTTTGTGTTATATGCAATGAAGATGCCGTAATTAGATGCTTAGACTGTGATAATGATATTTATTGTAAAAACTGTTTCAAAGAAATTCATAATGATGAAGAGTACCGTTCACACAAAACCAAAAACTATGTTATACCACCAAAATTCAAAGAAAATCATTTTTGATTTTCGGGCAAAATAAAATTTTAATATATACATACATACATACATAAAATATTAATCAGAATATTTATCAGCAGAATTTTGTTATACATTAGGTACATATATGAAAATCAAATAAATATGCATTAAACATAATATGTATGTTTATTAACTTTTTTTATTGAAAAAGCATCTAGTAGGTAGGTATGTAACTAGTCTTCCTCTTTTAATTTCTTAGCTGTTGTGAGTACCTTAATTTTCGCTTCATACGCTTCCTTAAGCTCCTAAAAAATTCATGGGAAAAATTAAAAAATAAAGTATTTATAGTGCATTTATGTAATGAAAAAATTCTTACTTTAAATATTTTGCATTGAATCTCATGTTCAGTTCTTAATTTTTCATAAACATTCTTGGAAATGTTAAGCTTTTTTTCCAAAATTTCGTTTTTATCTTTTTCCGCTTTTGTACGCAAAGTTGCGGTTTCGTATCTTGCATTAAGATGCTCAATTTCTGCACTACGTAAATTTAACATTTCTTTGGTAACATTTAAGACATCTTTAATAGAATCCACTTGAGTTTTAAGCATTTCAATATGTTGCTCTTGCTGTTTACAAATTTTGGTTTTTTCAAAAAGCAGAGTTTTCGCTCTTAATAAAGCATCTTCTTGATCAGCCATAACTTTTGAAGGACTTCCGCCACAAGTTACAGATTGTTTCAAAGTTTGTTCTAGCTGTGCAACTTTGCGTTTTAATTTATCATTTTCTGATAAACTATCCTGTTATATGAAACAAAGAAGAGACACATTTATATAAGTACAACGTATCTGTTTAAAATGTTTAGATAGAAAATTTTTAATAGTTTTTGTTATTACAATTAAATCTTTTTTAAACTGTCCAATTTTTGCTTTGGATTCATCGATTATGGTTTGCTTTTCACTCTCCAATGAAAAAACTAAATCTAAAAGTTCTCGTTCTTTGCTACTAGTTTCCATTGGCTTTGAAAAACTTTGTTCATCAGATGAACATGTACCATTAGCAATCAAATTTTTGTTATCGTCTATAGGAGCCGTTTCTGATTTATTTTCGGATACTTCAGCAATTAACGCTTCCATTTTTCTTTATAAATAAAAAATTCTACTTTGGATATCTTAACCAAATAAATTTTTCCTTTCAGAAAATGATGTAAACTATTTTTAGAATAATTATTTTTAGTTTGTTCTAAGATCGTAATTTTTATGACACGCAGCTGATTATTCTTTTAACGAATTGTTAATACATATTTTTCGAAGCAATTTTTTGATAAAGAAGCATCGTTAGACTGTGAATGATATGTGGGCCTTTAATACTAAAACAATAAATGAACTCTTTTAAAAAGTTTGAAAGAGTAAAATATATTTCATATTTTAATAAATGAAACATATTTTTTAAAATGATTCTCAAAAAATTAAAAACTTAATTTTTGTTTATTAATTTTATTTGTGTAAGTATCAAGGAAGTATTAAATAGAACTTATGAACAAAATTATGTGTATAAGAATCGCGTTATGAAAAGATAGATTTTTGAAATATTTATGACCAATATTTGAAAATTTGGAAAAAATCAACCATCCAATTCTCCTGCAGCACAAGCATCAGCATAACTTTTCCCAGATTTATCTTCTGGATTTAATTTTATCATATCATCGATTCTCAAAATTGTGATAGCGGCTTCCGTCGCAAATTTCAGTGACTTTATTTTTGATATAGCCGGTTCTAATACACCTGCAGCTTTATTGTCTCTCACTTTTCCTTCATACAAATCCAGGCCAATCCATTTTAAATGCACATGTTCAGCCTAAAATACAAAAACAGTTTTTTTACTAATGCATAATGTATTAAACATAAGCTTGACCTTTGTTTGGCTTGAATTATGATAGGCACGTAGTTTTGCTACTAAATCAGTCGCATCTTTTGCGGCATTAACTGCCAAAGTTTTTGGAATTATAAGAAGAGATTTTGCAAACTCAGCAATAGCTAATTGTTCTCTGGAGCTCTGTGGTAAAGTTATATACAATAAAAAATAAATTATAATACTAGAATGAATTACCAATGAAGTTGCAAAATTTTCTAAATAAATTGAAAGAGCAGCTTCGACGCAACCTCCACCTGCAACCACTTTTTTACTTTCCAAAACTCTTTTGACAACACATAAAGCATCATGAATTGAGCGTTCCATTTCGTCGCAATAAAAATCATTTGGACCCCTCAAAATTATCGAAGCAGCTGATCTCGCTTTCGTTCCCTTGATAAGTATCAATTCATCATCGCAAATCATTTCTTGAGAAACTTCAGCAGCTTCCCCTACCATAGAGGAATCAAAAGTTTCCTCCCCTTCCAAATTTGTTAATGACGTTAAGTAAGCAGCACCAGTTGCCTTAGCAATAATTTTAAGATCTGATTTTTTAACTCGACGTACTGCCATTGCACCAGCTTCGACAAAGTACTTTAAACATAAATCATCGATTCCACCAGTGCATAAAACTACATTAACACCGGTACTTAATATTTTGTGAATTTTTTCCTTAGTAATGTCTAATTCACGTGCTCTGATTCCTTCAAGTTTTTCTGGGTCGTTGATTAATACTTGAACTCCCATTTTCATTTTGGTTTTCATAAGACTAAAATCCAAACACGCAATTTTAGCATTCATAATTTTCTTAGGCATTTGTTGTGATGCAATCGTACAATTTAATGCATAACCAGGAATTAATAAACTTTCTCTAGCAGATTTTCCATGTGCTTTTAATACATTTATTGCTTTAACGGAATAGCTTATGTTTCCTCTAACATCTGTTATCTAAAATAAAGTTTTATGGTAAACATTAAACCACAATGATCAAATAAGAAAAATCTACCTATACCTTTACTAATTTAATAGCATCAACCACCATTGCTGCAAAAGTATCAGCGTCAGCTCCTATAATTTTCGAGCTCATTGACGTTTTAGCAATGTTAATCAAGCAATCATTATCAAGCTCATAAACTGGCGCTGTTAACTGCTCCGATATATATTTACAAGCCTCTTTACAGGCGAGACGATATCCTGCTATAATTGAAGTTGGATGTATTTTTTGTTTGACCAATTCATCTGCATTCTAATGTGACCCAATTTGATAATTATTACAATAAACGAATTTAATAAAACACACTAATTACCTTTAACAGCTCTGCTGCTAATATGACGACTGATGTTGTACCATCACCAACTTCATCATCCTGTAATTGGGCTAACTCCACCAAAACTCTGTATTTAAATAATAATTTAGTATGCATAATATAGAGTATGATAAATATCTACTCACTTGGCAGCGGGATGCTCAACTTCTAAAAGTTTCAAAATTGTAGCCCCATCATTTGTTACAGTAACATCACCAATATCGTCAACCAACATTTTATCTAGCCCTACAGGTCCCAATGAGCTCTTTACTATATTTGCTATCGAACAAGCTGCCATAACTACGTATAAAGTAATAAATATTAATTATAAATCACTACATTAAAACAGATGCTATTGACTAGTAATATGGATGATTCAGATGAACATAACCTATTAAAATACTACAATATTTTATAACCTAATCACATGGATGATTTTTCAATATACATTTAAGATTTTTTATATATTGTAAGTACATATTTTTAAATTATCAAGCAGAAACATTTAAGGAATCCCTTGTTTAAAGAATCAAATATTGAAAATATAATTGAAATATAATTCAAACATTACCATTTTGTGTACGAACCGGAGCGCCAGATTGTCTTGTTCCAGCCACAGTTAAAGGAGTTGCTACTGTCGACATTTTTAGTACTCTTTCAAAAATCCTTTTTTATTGTTTAAAAATGAATATTCAGTAAAATTTTCTTATTAATGACGAATTTATTTTTGAAATTAAATTATAAACACTACAGTATTAAATCTATAGAACTGTATGAAAAATTTAATGAGTACTGAAGTAGAATATTGACAATTTAAAAACTTAAATTCGACAGTGATGCCGTTTTAGCAACTTTGTGTATATTATATAGAGGAATGTTCAAAATTTTAGCTACAATAATTTAAAGTAAGCTTAAAAAAATTTAGCGATTTTCCTTTTTAATGAATAATTTTTTATTGCTTTTCATTTTAAAGGCTCAGTTAGTGTTTACATGTACGACAAAATCTACGACTTAATTTGAATCTGATAAAGCCTTATATGTAAACCCTTTTGACATCAGAATTTGTCTGTCAGCAAATAATTGAAAATACTCTAGTGCTATCAGACTTACTATAGGATATATCAAAATATAATAATAATGATATATTAAAAAACCAAAAAAACTAAAAAAAGTAACACAAAATTATATTTAATTAAAGAAAAAACAAAAACACTATTTTGAACAAAATTTATAAAATGATTAATTATGTAATAATATGAAAAAGGCATAATTATGAAAAAAACAAATCAGTAATAACAAATTAAAATAAGACCTTATTGTATGTACATCAAAAGTTATTTTACAATTCATCCCATATAAGAAGACACAAATAAACAAAATTAAAAGAAAAAGCATTAAAAAAGTCTGCTACTATATTGTCAAAAGTTCAAGAATACCTTTATATTAATCCTTTTCTTTATTTATGTTATGTTATAGTCAAAAATATATTGTTTCTTTTTTGCTTTATTATTATTTTATATACTTCCTAAGAAAAGTCACAAGATATGGCTATATTTAAAAATTCTTCTATACATAGCGACAAAGTCGCTAAAACGGCATCACTATTAAAAATAACAAAAACAAACAACAGCCAAGTTTGTCTTTCCTTTTCTTATTACTCGATTTACTTTTTTTCCGCAAAATTTTAGGTGACATATGTATACGACAAAATCAAAAACTAAAAATTAATTCGTTTAAAACTTGACATAACAAAAATCGCTTAGTATTTCTGTCAGCCGTGGTTTAAAATAATAAATTTATTCGTTTTGAAATGGAAACATATATTTCAAAGTGTGAGATATGTATTTATTTACAAAAGAGAAATAATAAATTTCGCCATTTCACTTTTAACATATCCAGTATAGCGTTCCCACTTGGATGTAACATTATGCATTTGGATACATTTTTGCTTTAAATTTAGCGTTGATACAAGGATACTCAAATCTGCTAAAATGCCAAAATTGGCTACATTTGAAAATTTTGCTGAATTATCGATACATTTATTTCTCAAAAACTAAATAAAATATTACAAAACTGTTAAAATACTGCTAAATTAAATCACGAAATTGCTTTATCTTCAAAAAAGAAATATATTAATATAATATATTATAAAAATATTATATATATATATAATATTAATATTATATAATATTAATATTATATTAATATTTTTATATAATATATAATTTTATATATTATATAAAAATATTAATATACTCATATATATTAATATATGAGTATTGCCTCTTCCTGTGTTCAAATCTAGAACATTTAGATAAGAACGTACCAGAAATATTACACCAAAATAGTGTAACAGAAAATGCATTGGCTGTACATATTTTTTTTTAATTTGTCCATTTTAATATCGAATCGTCTTTGTAATAAATTATTATTGAACAAAATAAAACGACTTAGTGTAATAATTCCGCTTTAAGAGGCTGGATACATTTTGAATACATTTTTTTCAAGAAATTGGATATATTTTATTTTTATTAAGTGGGAACACTCGGTAGTAAATCCGGTAGTAAATCTGGTGAGAATAAAGTAACTTCTATTATTAACCGTCAGACAAAGTCTGATGTCATATATTGCTGACATTATACGACTTTCATCAGACTCAGATTAAATCTTAGATATTATCGTACATTTAAACAATACTCTACATGGCAACGAGCTTATTATTAAACATAGTAAGCATTTAGTTTAAAAGAATTAAAAAGTGTAATGATACAGTCAGTGTATCACTGCGTTTTTATTATAAAACTGTATTTTATGTTGTCAAGACATATGTTTTTATGAACGAACTTTTGAATTACTTTTAATTGATGCGCCTTATTCAAATACATATACAATTTACGTAGATACGCAAAAATATGTACAATGGTCGGCAATATAGTAAAATACAGTATTTTGGGGAAACAAACGTTATTAACTCACGTGTGCTTTGCTTTTTAGTACAAATAGATGTAGTTTATTTTGTTTGAAAAATATTATAAAATAAAAATTTAAATATTTTTCTCTTATATTCAATAAAAATTTTACGAAGCAACAAAAAAAATTTCAGCTAAATTTGAATTTTGTCGACACAAAAGTGCTGTTCATATAACGGGAAATGACAACTTAATTTAAGGGCATATGACTTTTTTTTATTACAATTAAAACGTCAGCTGTTTCGTGTAGTAATTTATCAATCAGATAAATGTCAAAAAATATTTATTTGTGCAGTGCAATATAGATACATATATGCAAGGGATAATTTTACAAAGAATATATATTTTTTTATTTTAAAAGACTTTTTAGAGTTGTAACTGAACATATATTATTATGTTCATTCCTAAAGTTTTAATATTATCCGGTTATGGCAGCCAGTAGTTCTGATGAAAGTAGTAGAGCTCCAGATAATTTCTGTTTATCATCCAATTGTGAAACACAAAATAGTTGTTTGAAATGTTGTTTATGTAAACGATATAATAATAATTTTATTTGTGCGAAGTGTGTTAAAACTGGGAGCTTTTTCCATTCCTCACATCATCTTCCTGAAAAGTGAGTATTCTCTTATTTGGGCTGTATTGCGTATAATGGACGTGATGTAATAATAAAAAGTGTAAATTATCATTTTCTTTGCAACTTACCATTCCAAAATACAAATATGCAATTTAATAGGTGGAAATTAGCTAGTTTGTTTTTGAAACTTCCTTGTGCTTTCCAAATTCAACATAAAAGTTTTCTAGGCACATAAAAGAACTAAGCATATAAAGAACTAGTATAAAAAAGGTACCTGCTTGATTCATTACCATACCAATAAAAATAATTTCCAATTTGCGAAATACAATATTGTTGTGTCTTTAATTGTGTAGCGTCACACACATTCATCTACTATTGTTTCATTTTTTTACGTTGTGTAGAACTTGTTATTTATTTGGTTACAAAATTATATTTTCAATACTTTCAGGTTATCGGAAAAACAGGAAAAATATATCCAACTGCAAAATAGATCAAAAAATCAGAACATTGAATGTGAAAAATTAATTCAAAAATATCGTGATAGAGAGAATTTAAAATTTGAAATAAAGAAAAAACAAGAAAAAATTGCAATTTTAAACCATTTGATAAAAAATACCAAAGAAAAAATAAGCGAAAGAAAAAAATATAGTGATAATTTAGAATCAAATAACAACTATCAACGTAATATCCTGCCAAAATATAAAGATAAAGTAAAAAATTTGGAAGATTATGTCTCTGATCGTTTAACACAAATAGAAAGGCTAAAGGGGCAAAAGAATGATATTCTGGAGGAAGTCAAAATCAAAACACAAGCGGAAATACAAAAATTAGTTTCATATATTTTTCCTATAAGTGAAATAGTTGTAAAAGAGGAGCTGTCGACAACCGATAGCAGCAGTAGCGGTGGCTTAAGTGATAACCACAATACACTAAACTTAGATACAGGGGGATCATTATCTGAAACAAAAATTACTTCAAATCGTGGTAAATGGATTCTTCCAAGCACAGCAGGTAGTGAAATGCAATATCGTATTGTTGCACCCTCACTGCCCGCGAACGGAGATTACTCAGCCTATTTGCACTGGTTGGCAGAGAACAAGGATGAAATAAATAATACAATTTGTTTATTGTCTATGACAACTGCTGCAGCTCATAGAATACTAGGAGCTTTGACATATACAACTCAATTGACAAATATTCTAAGCTTTTATTTAAATGTCAGACTTCCTAACAAATTAGCTTACGCGTAAGAAACATGCCAAATGAAATTAAACCTTCTAACATATATTTTAATTTTAGTGATTTTACTAGAAGACTTAATGAACAACAATTTACACGACGAGTATCGCGCTTGAATACAAATGTGATGTATTTAGCTTATACTCAACGTGTTAAATTAAGTTCAGCAAATGAAAATCACACCCTGGAAAATCTATTAGCTATAATAAGTACGGATAATAATAATTTAGGTCATGTAGGTCCAAATCAAGTTAATGATGCACCATCTATTAATTCAATTGACTCTATATTGATTGGAATGGATACTGGTACTGAATCAGAATCAGAAGGTATATTATATTTAATATTATATTTCATTGCAAATAAGTACTGACAAAAAATTCAATATCATTTGAGATGAAAATTCCTTACGATTAGATTGGGAAGCTGTTTCACCAAGTTTTTCAACGACACAAGAAGTCCCAACTCAACCTATTCACCCCTTACAAAATCCTCAGACAACAAGTATCATGGCAAATGCTGCTAACAGTATAGCTTCAATTTTTCGTGGATGGAGAACGTAAAGTCAATATTTTACCTAATTTTAGTTTTATCTTCTTTATGCACATATTAACATTTTCATTTTGCAAATACAATGTTTTAAGTCATAAATATTTATGCGTAAATCAAAAATTTTAAGCTGGGAAGATTAAAAAAAATTAATCTAGGATTTGCTTCCTTAATATATTTTAACAAAGTTGTTATTATTTTCTTTTGTATTTTTTAACATTAAAAAAAGAAAATATTTTTAAATATCTCTAATAAATAATTAGTTTAATAAATTTTCCTTGTAAATATGTAAATTTAAGAAAAAACAAAGAAATATAATTTATAAATTTAAATTTTAAATGTTTTAATTTTAATTACAGTTTTTTGCATTCTTTACGTATTGCTTTTCCAAATAATACTATTACATTGCTATTAGGGATACTCAAAAAAAGTTAAGGAATTTTGCATTGTTTTATGTTCCCATAGTTCTGATTTTGTCTAAAATGAACCTGTCCCTGGAATGTTACGTTGTATTAATACTAATTTTTTCTGGTCATAAAGTGGATCACTTTGCAAGAGATTATATCTACACTTTTGAGAAATTTGGATCTATTAAAGGATGTTTTGTTGTCATTTCATTTGTGTTTGTTCGTCATTGTTTTTTTTATTTCATTTATCTTTATAATGTTTTCTAAAGATTAATAAAATTAATCAGTTTCAGAGGCTTTTAGGTGATAAGTTTTGTCTGATATAAAGATTTTGTAAAGTTCGACGCTTTTGAAATATATTTATTTTTTAATTTATTTTTTATTTACTCGAAACAGACAATGAACAAAATGAATATATATTATGTATAAAAAAAAATAATTTTTTAAATTTTAGAAATTAGTCTTTTATTTCTACAAGAAATTGTTTTTTATTCTTTAAAGTATATGTTAAATATGTGAGTCCATTATTAAATACACATATGTATATTAATAAATGTACTCTTTTTAACATTCACATAATTTTTATAAAGATTAATTTTTTGAAGTGATTTAAATTTTATTTGAAAAATTTCAAGTAATTGTTTATTCGAGATGTTTATATAATTTTTTAAACGCGTTATTAACAATAAAAAAACGTTTGGTGAGTCCGCAAAACTTTTTACATAAAAAATATTGATACTTATAAAATTGTTCATAAGTATTTCACACAAAATAGTTATTTACAAAATCTTATTATTAATATATTGAAATATCACAAAAAAAAACTTTATTCGACAGATTATGTGAGTATGTACATATACTAAATTAGACTGTTCAATTGATTTCTAATAAATTAAAAAAATTCGAAATATTTAGAAACTAATAATTTAATTATTAAGCTACAAATAAAAGTTTTTAATCACAATTTTTCTTTTCCCAATTAAGAATTTGTAATTAATTATATAATTATAAGAAAATGAAATTTTTGCATCATGTTCATTACATCAATTTATAATTTGTATTTTCAATAAACCAGATTTCATGGTTTTTTTTAATCTAAACTCACCAAAAAAATTAATTAACTAAACTTGCTACTAAAGTTCTTAACAAAAAATAATTGTAATTAAATAATATTTTATTCTTTACGTATATCACATAAAAAAAGCTTGTATGTATTCCTAAATTAATTTTGTTCGAATCTCATTATAAAATTTTTTTATAATTTTCTTTACATATATAATTTAAAGCAAATATTCTTTATTATTGACCGGTCATCTTTCAATAATAAAAGATTTAAGATCCATTGGGCATAAACTAATATCATGATTAGATATTTTCTTTTCCTTACGTAATAATGTCAAAGGAGCTGCGAATATTTTCGATTCTGTTTTAAGATCTAGCAACCTTATCAGATTTACCTAAAAAAAAGTTTAATATTAGTATTTCTGGAATATTAAACTCAAAAAAACGTACTGTTCCATCTCCTATTCTACTACCAGAAGAACATTCATCCAAGTATTTTCGATGGATCACAATGCCAATATGACCATTTAAATTACTTCCACTTGGTATTGTGTTCACTGATATATATTTTAAAACGCCAATCTCTATTCCATCTTCCAGTGGTTCATTTTTTTTACCAAATATTCCTAACAAGCCATTCCATTGATTTTCATTCCACATAAAACTGTCAATTGGATGTAATAAAGTTTCTAGTTCTTTGTGAGATTTAGTAGTAAGAAAACCACCAGGAAAATCGGTATGTGGTTTTTGATTGCATGAACTTCTATCTTCTAATAACAAACGGAATATATGGATTACTGGTTTATTATCCAAAACACCTTGACCAAGACCCCGGTTATCATCTTGGGCTAATCGGCGGTCTTGCATTATTTCTATTTCACCCGATTTAAGACTAGAACCGCCTAAAGGCTGAGCACTTAATAACGTAAGTCTAGTTTTATCATCCTCTATGTAAATAGATGACGGAACTGGATAATAATTAGCTTGAAGAGGCAATTTCCCGAACCTTTTGCGCTTAATAATCTATAAAAAAGCAACTCATAATTACTTTGTAAAAATACAACCAAATATTGTCATACTTGAAGCCCATTCAAATCTGTGTAAAAAACTTCATTATTTTTAATTCCGGTTGAAATTCTCATTATAATTTCATTATTATCCATCCTTCCTATATCCACAATATTGCGAATTTCTATGGAGCCAACATTATTCCTTAAAATTATAGAATGCGTTGCAAATGGAAGTCCCGTTGAAACGGATGACTCCAAATCACCTTGTTGAATTAAAACTGTAGGACTCCCAATAGATAACCTAGTTGCTGGCCCATCGGGTAAAAATAAATATGCACCACTACGGCGATTCGTCACATATTTTAAAAATTCCAAATGCGTAGGAAAATGTGTAGAATGAGCATCTTTTGCTATCGACTTTAACAAACCATTTTGGCTAAATGCAACAATCGGGCCATCTTCAAGCTGTAAAGAAATTTCTCTAGGTTCAGCAAACTCAACTTGATTCGGAAACTCTCCATGTTGCACTGTAAACGGTTCTGTTGTTAGAATAGTATTTTTTGAAAACGTCGTTGAACTAAAGTATAATTAGAAAAAAATTTAAGTGAACTTTTAAAAAATAACAATAATAATTGATTTTTAAGAGATAGTACCTGTTTGGCTCATTTCTTTTAGATTTATGGACTATGTACGTTATCAAGCCTAAAGGTGGTACCCGTACTTTAAATATCAACCGAAATTTGGTTGTGGATGGTTGTGGAATAGAGGCACTATTTTGCAATCCCTTATGCCAGCACCAAACAAATGAAACTTGTGCTGGAATTTTATTCATGTTGTAATCGGTAACTTCGACATAAGGATTTGAAACAAAAAATTCTACAATTTCTTCGCGCCATTGCGGTAGTGAATTGTGGAAAACTACATATTTTGTCGGTAACTCTTCACCTAAAATTATAGTTGTTCGACTATCATCCGGACTAGGCCAGCGTGAGTCGTCCATGAAAAAATATGTCATATCATAATTAGGAGAATATACCTAGAAAAATTCAGCTTGTTTTTAAAAATATCTAAGAAATATAATCTAAAATACATTACTTCGGGATTGGTAAGCAACTTATAAATAGCTTGTTGCATAACATGCCTGCTGTCTTTAATAGCTTGTTGCATACGTTTTGCGTAATCTTCTACCACAAAGTCTTTTGCCGTGCCAGTGATCCCATCATGATGTTGAAAAAGAGACAATTGCCTTCTTGCATTTTGCAAAAGTTCATCCATTTTCGATTGGGATTCCCAACTCAACCAAGATCTCAGCATCTCTGCAGATCGTATGTAGTGTAGTAAAACTCTATCCATTCGCTTATGGTATGGTCTTGACGTATAGTAACCGCTCCAGTAGTGATCATCTCTGTCAGCATAAGTAAAAAAGTCTCCACTTAAAGATGGAAATTCATTTTCATTTCTTTCTTTTCTTAAAGAGTCAAAGTAGTCTTGAAGAGTAGCAAATTTTGCTTCAACAAACATATTTGGATCTCCATTTATGTAGTCAAAAAGTTTCTCATAATTTTCTCGTTGGGCTTTCCACTCAGTGCTTTGACTATAGCGAAAATCATCACCTAAAGGTATTAAGACAGAACGTGTTTTATATAATACTGATTTTTTGCGCCATTGATCAACAATTAAATTGGCCCTAAAATGCAATAATTTTGGTACTTGAAAATTGTAAAGTAACATAAATAAAACCTTTCTACTATATTTAAGTCATTTATCTGCTGAGGAGCGGCATTCCATGGACACTGTATTCCAAAACGAGGTAAGCGTTTGAAATCAAATTGACAGCAAATCTTGGGATCCGGTCCACATGTGTGGGGAATGTCATAAGAGTAAAAGGGCATCATGTGGGTTAATAAATCTGTTTCTCCAGAATCATCTGGAAAACGAAAATACTACAAAACATTTCAAAAAATTGGCTGCTGAAATTCTTACCCCAAATTTGTCTCCAACGAAACTCTAGCTGCTTTTCTTTTGCTAATCGTTTTTTAACTGAATAATGCGTTCGTTGAATTAACAAATTTTCAAAACCCGAATTTTTCAAAATAAATGGCATTGTCGGACTTTGTCCAAAAGGATCTATTGACCAAGATGATATTGGAGTTACATTCAAAAAAACTTTTAACCACTCTTGCCCTTCAGTCAACTGCATCAAAATACTTAACCAGTGCGAATTCGCTTCATCTGGCATGACCCAGCCTCCAGTTACGAATTCAAGTTGCCTGTTTTTTACTAGCCTACAATAAAACCCCTTTTTAGGTATTTTAATTTAAACAGTAACATATTCTTACTTTTTTACTTGCAACTTTGAAACTTCTGAAATTCTCTCATAGAATCGTGAAAAATATGATATTTCGGCCCAAATAAATCTCATATCCGAATTTTCTGTCAAATGTCTTACAGCATTGGACAAAATTTGCTTGGTTGTGTACTCAAAATAGTCGTCGAACGTTTTCAGCCAGCCTATTAAATTAAATTATTCTCTAGGTTAACAAAAAACAGAATTTAAAATATTACCTGGGTCATTATGCGAATGTGGGACAACAAAAACTTTTAGCTTATGATGCCTGTTAAATTGTTTAGGATCATATTCAACTTTCCATCCTACAAATTAAATTGTTTTGTTGAATTTCATATCCTGTTAATTTATAAATTTTAAAAAGCTACAAATGTAACGCACAATTCGTGTGCTGAAATGTGGCTAGTGTATATGTATATTTAGGCTTGTACAAAATTTATATATTATCAAATATAATGTATCAAAGAATAGCGTCATGGGTTTATTATGAGTTTTTTGACTGAGTATGAAAATTCTTATATAAAAGTAAAAGATCTACGCTATTAAAAAATAAAAATTAAGAAGTATTGTATTTGCGTCAGAATACCTTGCTTCCATACGCCGCCATCAGGATTATCAAATGGAACTTCTTGATATACATCAAGCATCTAAAATCAGTGAAAATTGTACATGAAGTAGAATTTTAGAAAATTATTTTTACCTGTATATCAGGCTTTGGAACTATTTCGGTATTTATCGGACATTTTGAGAAATCTTTTACATCAATTATCATCTCATGAAACATTTCTTTTTTATTCAAAAATGCATTGTTATTAAGAAATTTTTGCTTCACATTGCTTTCGTGGTCAATAAAATTTGGTTCTTCAATTACCAGTTTTCCATTATCATCAAATTCGTTTCTCTTTAATGCTTGTTGCATAAAGTCCTTATATTCCGTTTGCTCCAAGTTTATATCATTATCAGGCTTTTGCAAAGATAAAGAAAAATATTTATAGACAGATACCATCTACTCTAATCAAATTTTGCATACAAAATTTCTTACAAAAAATAGCATACACCTACATACATTCATAATGTATGTAGCTATAATTTACCAAAATTTAATTAAATTTTTATGAATTTTTACTACTTATGCATTTTAAACAATTGTTCTTTTCTTAAACTTTTTCTGAATGTCACTCACTTGCTTAATAGTTGGAACCGAAAAATTAATAAGTATGTAAAGGAATAAACATAGTATTATACACGCAGCACACAAAACTAGGGTTATTCTTCTACGGAATTTAAAAACCATTTTTAACCTTTACACTTCTTTCTTTACAGATATTTTTTCCCTTGCAATCCTTATGAGTACCTGCTTAATATTTATATGAAAAACATACCACTCTGTTTAATTTGTTTATTAGATTATTAAAATTTATTTTACTATATTATGAATTAAAATAACATTTAAAAAACCCTGTTATGAGATTCTAAACTCTAAGATAGATAAACATTTGACAATATGCAATTTGAATCGATTGTCGATTTTTGCAGTTACAATAAGTAAATAATCATTTAAACAAACTCAACGTATGCTTAACATAAGAATTTTTAAGCCTTAGCTAAACAATTTATCGCAAGTTATTGAATATTAAGTGCCAGTTTACACATCAGATTCTACTTATACTTTTACGTCAAACTTTTGACGCCGATGAATTTGATATTCGTAATCTATAAACTGGCAACAAAAATTAAAGAAAAAACCAAAAATTAGCTCATGGTGTTAAAACTTGTTGAAAGATTTATTTTCAGCAATGTTATTTATTTTCTGACAGAAAATTTGACTATAATCAGATATGTTTCTGACAGAAACTCTAAGAGATTATATTTGAGGTTAGACTTCGTTTACATATTAGATTTTTAGCAGATCATCTAACACCACTTTAGCTTCCAAAGACAAAACAAAATTATTATGTTTAAGTTCAATTAACTTTATCTCATGAACGGGTTTTTATTTTCATTAAAAATATTGTTCAAATTTTTGACAAATTTATTAATTTTAATATTATGTTAATGAAGATAATTTAGGTATTTCATTATATTGAGTATTATTAATAATATGAGGGGGGAGGCTTTTTATAACTTATAAGTTATTTTACACCGGTTCTCTTATTACATTTATTTGAATTTAAAAGTGGAAAATGTGGTATCTGTTTATAATTTTATTTTTTACGGTTGAAATTGCTAAATAGTTTATAAATAAACAATATGAAAAATCAGCTGATTCTCAACCATTAAGATATTAGTAAATATTGTTTTTCATTTTGAAACAATTAAATAAATTTTAAAATTTATGTAAACGTAGTTTTTTGGCGCTTTGACATTTATTTTATTCAATAAAACAATCTGTTTAAGATTGTGCTGCAAAAAAGCTAAATTGTTTTAGCATAATTATTAAAACTTATGCGATGAATACTAAAGAAAACGCGGCCCAATTAAAAAAGGTTGAGAACCAATGCAAGAGACCACTACTGGTGAACCCCGTCATTGCCAAAGCATGACTGCCAAAAGTGAAGATTTATAATCAAAATAAATTTTTTTTGGTTATATGTTTTTGTGTAAAATTTCAAAATTAGAGCTTTAAAATTTTTTAAATCTTACATACAAAAATATCTTTATAATTAAGGTTTTTTAATGCCACTGCAATTTTTCAAAATTGGATTTTTTTGAACTTTTTTCCATATTTTCCAAAATTCACAAAATATATTTTGATTAAAAAGTCAACTTAATAGGCAACGCATGGTAACGCTACTTCCATGACAGACAAATTTGCTATTCGCCGCTATATTTAATTCTATATTAATCGACTTGACACAACAACTAAATGCGCTTACGACTTATAACATTTTATGTCATTGTACATGTCAAAAATTTTTTTTTTCGATGTCTGATTTGATTCGAATTGAAATCCTGATATTTTGGTTTCCTACTTTTTTCAATTTAAATTCGATTGAAGATTTTACTTAAAAGGAATTAAAGATATTTGACTTATACCCCTACTATGTTCGGCGAAGCAAATGGCTAGGTGAGTCGAATGAACTAGGCGAATTGAATGATTTTTAAATTATGATCGGCGAATGCTTTCATTCGCCAGATTCAAAATGTTGCTACCGCAAGATATCAGAAAACCAACCGAAAATAATAATGTTAACACCCCACAGTAAACTGTTTAATTTTTGTAAACAATTGAATTTTTCTATGCTTTGGCAATGACGGGGTCGTTGTTTATTAATTTATTTAAATTATCGAATTGTTTTTAGTCCATTTTTTTATGCTTAAAATAATATTAAACAATCAATACATATTTTTTAAAATAGTTTAGATTTTTTCATTATATCGACATAAATGCTATTATATCAAATAAAAAATAACATTTATGTACTATTTTAATTTTTGTAATGTCACACAATTACATAAATACATAATTATAAACAAGAAAGTACAGGTGGCCTACTATGGAAAAATACAAAAATCGTAAATTTGTTAATTTGCGATTCGCAAGTGGTTTGGTACTATGTAACAAAATCGCATCGTAAAAAATTTAAACTGACAGCATTTTGTAAAATTTTTTGTTTTTGACATTTCTGACAGTTTTTTCAAAGTAAGCATTTGATTTATTTTATTTGTATTGGATTTCATTTATACTTCAGGTCTCGTTTTGTACAATACTTTTTATTTGTATTGTATATTTTATTGGTCAGGTACCTTACCAGTCACTTCGGTCTCGTTCGTTTTTATTTGCATTGGATTTAGTATAACGTTCAATTTTATTGGTATTGTGTAATATTAATACAGAAAGAAATAAGGAAAAATATAAAATGTACATCAATTACCAATGTATATGCAGTAATTTTTTTAATAACTGAAAAATTGGAATTCTTAGTGAACGATGAACGATTCATTTTTGAAGAAGTGAACTAATCAGCTAAGTTCAGTGAAGTGATTTGTTCCTTAAGATTAGTTCGTTCGTGAACGACACATGACTAAGCACTACATAGTAGGCCACCAATATAAATCAATACCAAAGAACAAATTCAAAAAATATTTATTTTATTAAAAATTTTATCAATATTATTTTTAAAATCTGCTTTACTTTTGTAGTAAAATAATTTTACATATGTAAGCGGTTTGTTATATTTCGAAATGTCAATGAAATATAAAACCGCAGATTCCTGTAATACTTGCGGTTGATTTACATTCAAGTACAGAAGAATTATATCAGTTGTTTCCTCGAAGTACTCTTGTGATGCATCTATATTTATAAAAATTTCAGCATACGTTTGCAGTAGTTTTATTTGCAACTTAAATTCTTGTGTGGATCTACAATTAAATTATATTCTGTTTATCTTTGATTATTTGTATCTAACCTATTTTTAATCTTACGTCATATTTTTGTTTTTGAGACTATTCTTCAACGACTCTTTCAAAAAATTATTTAAAAATGGGAAAACATCTCTAAAAACAAAAAAGAAATATATGTTAACATAGGTTTTCTATATTACATATGCATTTACATTAATCATATAATATATACATGCACATGCACATATGAAATACTTACTTCAACATTCTTTTTTGCAAAAAATTTTTAGAACAATCGACTAAAATTTTTAGCAAATCAAAACAACGACTTAGTACAACTGGATCATTATCCTTGAATCGTTCGGAATATGGATACCATAACAAATGAATTAGAGGCAGGACTTCATCTTCATAATCTTTTAATATTGGCAACCCAGATATCATACACTCTAGTGATATAATTTTGTTAATTTGTTCTTTAGACGTAAAAAACTTTAAAACTTCTTTAAGAATATCTCTAACACTAACTATATGCTTTGGCAAAATGGGCTTTTTATTTTCCTTTTGTAAATCTTCTTCATCTTGAGGTTTATTTTCAATATTATTTTCCTCCTTATGAAATTCTGTTTCAATTTCACTAGAGTTATTTAAAACATTTTTCAAAATTAATAATAAATCATCTTCAAAATCTTCGATTGCAGTTTTGTCTATTTCTGTATTAAAATTGTGGTTGACAGAACTTATCCAATTTTTTGTATTCGTAAAAAATATGTTAAAAACTTTTAAATATGCAGTTATACACGTAGAATCATTTGAACACGACAACTCATCTAACAATGTTTGTAAAATGTTCTCCAAATAGGTAAATGTTTCTAAAGAATTGTATTGTAAAACTGCGGCTAGCGTTTCGATACCTAAAACGTTGAAATCTTTTTTTTTCAGTAAGCTATTTATATGAAAGGAAAGGTAGTCTGTGCAGTTTTGAACCATTTCTGCAATATCACTAAAAAAAATTTTAATTTGTAACACATTATAAATTATTTTAGCCGACATACTTGAATTTTAATGCTTGTTTTATACTTATAAGAGCAAATAAACCAGTTTGGCGAACCATTGCATTTGTATTGTTTGTCAATAGCAATACCCGATGTAAAATTTTGAAAATATATTTTTCAAAATTTTTTTCCATTATTAACGCACATTTACCGACTGCATTTAACATCACACAGGTATACAAGACATTGAACTGTGCATCAGTTTTGCTTACAATATTTTTAGAAATATTAATTTCTTCATCGTTATTATAATCAATACCAATTGTACGAACTTCATACGCTGATTCGTATAAACCTGGAGTACGATCTACATACCAGTTGCAATAACTTCCAAAGTCCTTATTTACGTTTTGATCCGGATGTAGAGATAAGTGCCAGTGAGTTTCCTCGCTTAATTCTGTTAAAAGTAAATCAATGATTTTATTTTGATTTTCATTAAAATTTTCTTTTGATAACATGAATGTTAAAAACAAAAGTATTTCGTTGGACATATCTGGGTTTAGATTTAGAACTTCCATTAAGTGGTTGTAAATAATAAAATTTACTGGAGACATTCCAACATACTGACACACATTTTTAAGCAAACTTCTAGCTTTTGATGAAGAAATATTTTTAAAATTCATCCATTCAAATATAAAATTTTCCTGCTCTAAATATGTATGGGCAGAGTTAATACAATATTCTTCGTGAAGTAAATTATTTGAAAATTCCAAAGTAAACGCTTCAATTAAGTTATCGACAAACTTTTCTAAATTGCTAGTTATACTAAAAAACACGAAACATTTTTAGAAGTTTTAAAAATTATTTTGGGCAAAAAAAAAAATTCAGAACTTTTTTTTAAATTAATTATGTACCTGAAAATAGCCAAAATATTATCATGTGGGATGTATTTAAAAAAACCTTTCAAAAAGAGAAATTCGGAAATTTGTTCTGATTCAACATTTCGGTTAATTATTCTAGGTAATTTGGTCATATGTTCATTAAATAGTACATCCCACTTAACCATGACGTTCCAATTAGTTTTGATGTTTTCCAAAACTTCCTCAGAGCTTATTCTAATATCACGCTCCTCATCTTGTGACAAGGCGATTACAGATTCTAATAAAATTGAATTATTTTCTTTCAAATTATTTTTACAATTCTTTAACAATGTTGTGGCCAATATCAAGTATTCCTTTCTCAATTTATGATTACTGCTTGATTGCAATATTTGTAGATTTGAAAAAATGGGTTTTAGTTTTTTTGATGTTGCTTCAAACCATTTTTTGTTCCTATTCATATCCTGGATTATTTTTACTTTTTCGTCCAAAGACTTATGTTTAATGTTATTATTCAAAAACACACATGCGTCTTCTTGCAGTTTTGTATCTTTTAAATTTTCGGAAATCAATTCAATGAAGTCATTTGTCGAATATTTTATGCTTTCGCAATTCAATTTGTCTTCATATATTATATGCAATATTCTTCCAAGAGTTTGAGTTGATAGCTTGGTTGAAAAAAATTCAAAATTTTTTATAGGTAAATAGGTAATTTCAAATTTTTAGAAATGAATAAAGGTAGAAAAGAAAACGTACTACTATGATATATGTATTATGCTTACTGTTATTAAATTTTCACCAATTATTTCATCATTAAGAGCGATCTCAGCCAGAACTGCAATAATTTTTGGTAAAAAATAAAAAGTTGCATTGGCTACTTGATCCCGTAATACAATGTCGTTGAAATCAGCTTCATTATGAACATAAAATAAACTTTGTAGACATATAATAGCGGAAATTCTAAATTTAAAAAATAATTTAAACAGAGCTTTCACTGATTTTTTTTGCTTTTACCTTAAGGCTTTGTATCTATCATTTTGTATTATACCGACACACACGGCTGCTATTTTTCCAATCACATTGGAGTTTTCTCGCGAATAAAAACTTTCCAATATTTCGGAGTTAGTATATTTAAATGATTCGGTTATACAGGAAACAGCTGACAACTTTATTTCTTCTGAGAGATTCTTATACAACATCCCAGTTTCAAAATTATATATTTGCTTTAATATAATAATTAAAATTGTTTTTAATTGGTTATTATTTTTTATTCTCGATTTGCTAATGATGTGTCTTATACATTTTATAATTTCGCATTTCAACTCAGCCGATTTCCTACAAAAAAATTCCCTTTAATTTCAAACAATATTAATTTAAAATATATTTATACTCTTCCGGTAATTTATCTAATTTTACAATTAGAGGTGCTAATATGTAATTTTCCAAAATAATTATTTGACTTGCATCAGCCTTTTCAAGAGTCTTTCTTAATCCAACTGCATTTTCTTTAGTAGGATTTTTAAAAAATGTCTCCAAAGTGGGTTTTATTGAAATTACAAAGGCTTCCATAATTTAAAGCGTAAAGTAATTATTTTTTTTCTTTAAACGACCAGAACTACTAAAATCCGTCTTTTAATTTTTTTTAGTTTGTTCGGATTTAGATGTTGTTTGTAAACAGAATGAAAGAAACTGATTTTTTTCTCAATGTTGACAGACATACACGCGCGACTCTATTAAGGGATCGAACTCAATGACTGCGTACCACGTAGTACGTAGGTTACCAAGGTACTCATATACGCAAGAGGTAAACGAATTGAGCACACGGTCTAATCTGACATTAAGCGTCAAGATTTTGCTAGATATAACTTTATAATACATATAAAATATAATAATTAATTAATAAATAATATTTAGTTTTTTATTATTTAAAAATATTATTTATTTAAGTTTATATTCTTAAATTTTAAGCTTGCGGTTTACATATGTGAATTGACAACAAGCATTAGAAAAACGAACTATTAAAAAACAAAAAAAATATATACCAAAGTCTTGTCAATCGAAAATTCCAATCCGTAGGCGAGTAGCTCATTTAGTTTACTTGGTTTTTAATGTATAAATATGAGAAACTTTTGGCACAAGCGTTACGCGTCCGTTTAGGTCGATTAGTATGAGGGAATGACAGTTTACAACTGATGTAAACAGTTACACGTATGCTTATGGCAATAACTGAGAACGCTTTTTGAAATCATAAATCATCCACTAGATCAAATATAGATAAATTTCTAATTGAAAAAAGTTACAATTTCGTTTTTTTGTTATAGCAACTTCAAAAAAATTGATTTTAATAGGATAAATATTAAAGGATAAGGGTATATACATATATGAATATTGTCATATTTTATATACATACCTTATTTGTTTGCAAAAAAAAAAATTCATATGTAATTGGTTTTTATGTAAAGTAAACAAACAAAAAGCAAACTGAGCGGGGGAAAAATGAAATGTAAGTAAAAATAAGATTTTCACTATTAAAATGTTTTTAATAGTACTAATAGTTATCAGATTTCCTTTTACTATATTACAATTTATTAATTTATTCATTTGATTTTAAATATTCATGTTTTTCTTAAACTTGTTTATTTACTATAAATGTAGTGTGAACTGGGATTGTCTAGCATGGGTTGAACGCTAAATTTTTGACAGCAAACCTAGTGCGATGAAAGATACTTTTCGGATTTTTCGGAAAAAAATTTCGAATTGTATTTATCATTGACACACTAGACACTATTCAGAGTTTTCGGAAACAAAATCGCACGGTAAACTAGATTTTAGTGCGATAGTAAACAGCCTAAATATACCATAAAGTTTGATGACTATTTACTTATCATTCTGATGTTATCTGACGGCCCATCGACTTTACGTCAAAACTTAATATTTTGTTTTGAAAATTATTGCCAAAATAAAAATCAGCTGATCGCTGTTCTAAGTTTCCACAAAAAATCAATTCGCCTTTAAAAAATCTAACATTAAGTCTATTGAGAATAACGTTAATGCTAGTACTTACCGTCGGACACAGTCTGATGTCAAATAAGATTTATACAGGGTGGTCTAATAATCAGTGACATAACATATACCATAATTTCAGAGCTAGGTATCAAATCTCAACAGTTTTCACGGTATAGGGATTTTAAATAATTTTTACGAAATTTTTCACAAACATCTTTATTCTCAAGACTCCGTAATACACAATTTACTATACATACATACGGTATATTCAAAGTTGGTCATTATACCTTTTGTTAAGAAATATATTCTTATATTAGGTATTTTCGAATAAATTTGAAATGTTCGTGGTGATTTGGGATGTTTGAAAAATAAAAAACGATTAAATACAAAAAATATGCAGAAATTATTTTATTTCGTTTAAATATTACCAAAATTAAATTTCTTGTTCTTTCAAACTAGTTTCTTATTACAGGTTGCAAATTGCATTATAATAAATTACAAGTAACAAAATATTTTTCAACTAAAACCAAAATAGTAAATACATAACAAAATTGTTTTTGAATAAACTACATAACATATTTACATAAAAAAATAAAATTTTTAATCAATTTTTCTTAAAACTAGTGAATTTTATGACAAAAATGTATTCAACTAAATTCATAAAATTTTTTAATTTTCTTTTATTAGAGATTAAATTACATACTTATTTAAATTGTTCAAATCTTAACATTTGACTTACTTTGGTGGTGTCGAATTCGTTTTTCCTAATGCTTGTATACATTTATCCTTGATGACCTCGTTCTTTGGCAAAGTAAATGTAAATATATAGCTTTTACGTTCTTCTTTTCTCGTAGACTACTGCTTCTGCATCCTTCGATGCAACACCCTCGGGGCATTTATATGACACAACTCCTATTTATATGAGTAATCAAATATATTATAATATTTTATTTAAATATGATTACAATAGAAACTTTAAAAATTACAACAAATCTTACTAATTTATTAAGTCATTTTTTCTTTTTAAATAAATTTTAGTACTATTTTTTCAAATTCACCTTTGTTTTATTCTAAATATTATGAAAAAAACACAAAATTTAGTTAATATAAATTATAAATCTTCATTTTATTTAATAACACAAAAAACTAATATAATTATTTACTAAATTTAAATTAAATTTTAAACAACAAATAAATTATTTTCCGTGCGAAATTTATATATGGACTAAAGAAATGAATAGTCTTTTTTCTGAACAAAAAACTTTGGATACACACATACGCAAAAATATTAAGACGTTTTGTACATTATAGGAGTTTATAAATTTTTACTTGCTCTATTTTTCGATCTTAAATTTTGTAATGTATGTAAACTGCATCTAAAAAATGGCAAAACAAAACATATTTGTAACTGTTATTCTGTGTCAAATTAAACGTCAAAGTGTACTGTATAATATAAATATAATGCATAAAATTTACATATGTCATATGAATGCTTGCGAGCGTTGATTTCAAAATTTTTTACAATTTAAATCATAAAATCTTGAAGAATTTAATAAAAAGATATACATTTGCAAAGTAATATACTATAATTGGTTAAAAATTCAAAAAGAAGTTTCGAAGAAAATGACTACTCGCCCAAAGAGAACAGCCGCCAAAGTCAAAAACATTATTGAAATATCTGATAGTGAATCTGAAAGTGAGCCTGCAGCGAAGAAAGTTAAGGAGTCAGATGAGGACTGCAGCAGCGTTGACTCAGATTTTCGTGTTGAAGGCAATAAAATTGTGGTGTAAGTTTGTGAACTAAATATGTCTGTATATATGAATATAAATGCGACAAAATTTTAATATTATTGTAGAAAACCTCCAGCCAAAAAGAGGATTGGTCGACCTAAAAAAAATTCAGTTACCAAATCAAAAATTGAGAACAATGATGTAGATGTTTGCACGGAAACGCACTTGAATCCTCATCCTTGGAAATTTCATGATCTTTTGGCAGAGAAAACTTCAATAAGTTCATTTGTAGCCCAAAATATTGTAACACTTTTAAGTAACGATAATACCATACCTTTTATATGTCGATATAGAAAAGACATGGTTGGTAACATTAGTCCTGAAAAAATGCGAGATATCAAAATATGTTTTCAGGAAATTCTTAATTTGCAACAAAAAGCAGATAATATAATCAAAACTTTGGAAAAAGACAATCTATTAAAAGATAGTGTTAAAAATGACATCCTAGCTGCAAAAACGTTAGAAGAATTAGAATTTTTGGTTTGCGTTTAAAAAGCTTGAATTATTTTTTAATTTAACTAGAATTATTTTTTAGTATGCACCTTATAAACCTGCTAATAAAGGTTCTTTAGCTGATCGCGCAAGAGCTTTAGGACTAGAAGAAGTCGCAGAAGATATTTTATATGGAAATTCTTTAGTCAAACTGGAATCAAAAATTGACAAAAATGTGAAAGGTTTGGATTCCAAAGAAAGTATATTAGAAGGAATTGTACACATAATATCTCATATCATAAGTAAAAACACGGAAGTGTTAGAAGAATTGAGACGAATGTATGGCCCAATTTTCAAATATAAAACAAATTTAATATATTTTTCTTTTATAGACAGAAAATTCATCGTATAATTATAAAATGTTCTAAGAGTACCTCAGCAACTAAAGAAAAGAAACAAGTCTTAACAAATAATGTTCTCAAACTGAAAAGCGTTAAAGAAGGATCTCGAAAAAGCAATGAATACAAATTTGAAATTTACTACAATTTTGAAAATGCAGTGCGTTATATAAAACCGCACCAAATATTGGCGATTAATCGAGGAGAAAAGGCAAAGTGTTTAAGTGTAAAGGTTATTGTTCCAGACCGCGTAAAAAATGAAATGAAACATTATATACGTCAGTTATTTTTAACTAATGGTCAAAGATATCAACTTCGTAATGAAATTTTTGAAAGGTCTTACGAGGAATGTTATGTAAAAAAATGTTAGAAAATAATATATTGTTATGGTAGAATGATAATTCAATTTTTTAATTCTAGTGTTACCATTTCTTCAACGACAAGTTCGGAGCGACTTAAATGAAATAGCAAAAAAAGCGTCAATTGAAGTTTTCGCGAAAAATTTAAAGCAATTGTTACTAATGTCGCCTTTAAAAGGTAAAAAAATTCTTGGAATTGATCCTGGATTTTCTAACGGTTGTAAGATGGCATTAATAAGTGAAACTGCAGATGTTTTAGATACTGGAGTTATTTTTCCGCATACCAAAGGTGAAAATAAAGACCAAGGACGAATTTTAGTGGAAATGTTAGAGAAACATAAGTAGGATTCTTTGATACAACTTCAATTTGTTTTATTCATTCAATATTTATTTCAATCAAATTTCAGTTGCAATTTAATTGCATTAGGAAACGGAACCGCTTGTAGAGAAACAGAACATTGGTTGACAAATTTATTTAAGGACGGGATGCTTGACCCGGAAAAAATAAAATATAGCATAGTTTCAGAGCAAGGTGCTTCAATTTATTCTTGCAGTGAAAACGCGAGGAAAGAGTTTCCGAATTTAGATGTTAACATAATCAGTGCAAGTATTGAAACACAAATGTAAATATTTTCTTATGATTTCATAGAGATTACTTTTTAAAGTTTCAATTGCACGTCGTTTAAACGATCCATTAAGTGAGTATGTTAAAATCGAACCACGGCATATCGGCGTCGGCATGTACCAACATGATGTAAATGAAAAAGATTTATCGGAAGCATTAAACGAAGTTGTAACTGAATGTGTTAGTTTCGTGGGCGTTGATATTAATACTGCTAGTTTAAGTATATTAAAGTACGCTATTTGAATCTTCAAAATTTAATTTTTAATATTAGAAGTTCCAATTTTTGAAAAAATTTTTAATTAATTAATGTCTTTATATCAGGTACATTTCCGGTCTTACGGCTAGTCGAGCTGAAAAGCTAATAGAGTATCGGATAAAAAATGGGCCTTTTAGAACAAGGAGGGCTATCGTTAAAGTTAAGTCTATTGGAGAAAAAACTTATACACAATGCGCTGGGTAACATAGATTATTTAAGTATCACAAATGATCATTAATTCTTTTAGATTTATTCGAATTGATCCAATGACTGTTGGTGGAAGTATTTCAAATTATTTGGATTGTACGTGGGTTCACCCAGAAAGTTATGATGTAGCAAAGAGGTTTGGTCTAGGCATTGAGGTCTGTAAAAAGTTTAACTGATGATTCATTTTTAAAATTTTTTAGTATTATCGAGAGTTTGAACTTCAAAGTAAAAGATATAGGCCAAGCACAATTTATGAAAAAAATGCAAGAAATTTCAAATCCACAAATAGAGGTTTACGCAAGAGAATTCAATTTACCAAAAGAAAGAGTAAATTAAAAAATAAAAATTTAAAAGGCGCTTAAATAATTTTATTTCATCTTTTCCAGATAGAGTGCATATTAGAAGGGTTAAAACGTGAGCCTTTTAAAGATTATCGTTTAGATTTTGATAAAAAACCACTTTTCAAAAGCGGAGTTTCAAAAATTACAGATTTATCCTTGATGGACATAGTAACTGGTTATATAAAACAAAGTTATTTAGTAAACAGAAATAATATGTACTTTAAAAATATTATCAGGTGCCGTAACAAATGTTACACATTTCGGAGCTTTTGTGGATATTGGTGTAGAAAAGGATTGCTTATTGCACGTTAGTAAAATGAATGGAATGACGTTGAATATTGGCGACCGTATTGAATGTAGTGTCGTAGACATAGATACCTCTAAAAATCGTGTAAATTTAAGATTGGAAGGAATGGCTATATAGGAAATTATATCATCGCACTTTATGAGCTTGTTTACTTACTTTATACCTACATATATATGTATATATATTATAATGATGCTGTGATTATGCTAATACATGAATACTCACATAAGCAAAATTGGATAAATTGTAAATTTTTTTTAACAAGCTGACGATTATCCAATAATTAAAAAATTTAAATAAGATTGCATAAACTGTGCGAGATTTTTTATTAATTTGAATAAAACTTTTAAAATAGATACTAGTGAGTTTGTTTTAAAACTTACTTTAGTCGACAGATAAAGGAATGTTGACTAGAATCGTTTGTGTAAATTTGTAACAAAAATATTTAAAGCAACTGATTTTATACAGTACGCAAAACTTTAAACAAACATTAACTTAAACAATTTAAAACAATTTAAATAAAATATATGTAGGTTACATCCTTGTGCTCGTCTGACTTTACTTGGCTATTTTGTTGAGGGAATGCGATCTCTTAGATAAGCCATAATAGTTAAAGTACCTTTTTCCAAAATTTGTTGCCTTGGTTGTCTAAATGGATTCCCATTTAAATCCAAAGATCTAGTAATTTAAAGTTAATTTATAAAATAAATTTTTTTGTGCGTATTTAATTCTTACGTAATATTTTTCAAATTTCCCAATATTGGTGGTATTTGCTCAATATTATTATTTGCCAAATCAAGTATAGCTAAGCGTTTTAGGGCACCTAATCCAACAGAAGTTGCATCAATTTTTTCTATTTTGTTACCACGAGCAATAAGAATTTCCAGTCCAGTAAGTTCATAAATTGGTGATGGAATAAATTTAAACAGATTGTTTGAAATATTCAATTCTCGTAGTAATTTTAAGCTTCCAAATTCTTTAGGTAAATCACACAAGTAATTACTTGAAAAGTCTATACGGCTCAGACGTGTAAAAGATGGCCAAAATTCGGGAATAGTTTGAAGTTGATTATTGGAAAATATAATTTCTGTAGCGCAGTTGGATAAGTGAATTAAGCTGCAAAAATTATAAAGTATTGGAAATTTTTAAATAAAATTTTATCATTTATTTACCCTTGCGGAATATTGATGAATTTATTTTTTGAAAAATCAACCATATTAACTGCTTCATCCTTGCCATCAATGAAAACTTCTTCCGGAACTTCTGTTAAATTTTTCATAGTTACCGTGAGGCAATGGTTTTTTCTTATTTTAAATCTTTTTATAAAAAGTATAGAATATCGATAATTTTATTTTGAGTTTTTCTTGACATAAAGATAAAACTTACTTATCTGGAAAAACGTCGATATTTCCAAATATTGGAAAATTTGATTTAATATCCATTTTTGCTGTATCTTCTTGTATAGCCCTTTCACGTAAAAACTTTAATATTCTTTGAGTTCCGGAGTTGATTATATCTCGACGTATCGTTCTAATTGGATTACCGTTCAATTGCAAACTTATTAAATGTGCTAACGTTGACAGAGAATTAGGTATTGTAGTAAGTGTATTGTTTGATACATCTAATCTAATTAAATTCTGTAAAATTGAAATATCTTCTGGTAACTCACTAATTTTATTGTCACGTAAATCGAGAATTTTCAGATGTGGTAAATTTTCGCAGAATTCAGAGGGTATTTCCTTAAAGAATTTTTTTTCATAATTGAATATACTTTAAAAATTTGACTTATAATAATAGTATCTATAGCAAAAAGCTTAAAATTTTGAAACAAACATTGAAAATTAAGTACTTATTTACCTTTATAAAATTGTTGGAAATATGAAGTTCTTCTAAGGCGTCACAACCTTGGAAATTTGGCAGTTCTTTTATATCATTATGTTGAGCATATAGAAATTTTAATTTCCTCATTAAACCAATGTCTTCAGGTAAATATTCAAGATTATTGTTCATAAAATCCAGTTTATACAAAGCTGGGAAAGTAATAGAAATTAATTTAGCAAAAATGTATTTATCTTACAACTTACATCTCATATTACAGAAATCATCAGGTAGTTCTTTAATATTATTAAAAGAGCAGTTCAATTCAGTTAATCTAACAAGGAAACCAATACCACCAGGAAGAGTTGTTAATTTATTATATGATAAATCCTTTTCAAGAAAAAAGCGAACTTGTAAATACTCGCGAAAAAATTTATAAATTTTTTTTAGTTTTAAATTAATAGTTGCACATACATATTTAGAAATAAATAAAAAAAAATGTACGAAATTAGAAATTTTTAAAAATTACGATGTATTGTTAATTTAGTATTCAATTTGAAAAGAATTTTTATTTTTAATAAGAGGGCCGCTAAATTCCAAATTTTGTTGGAAATACCATAAAATTTTCTAAAGTATTTTTTCTATTTTTGTATACATACAAATTAATATTAAAATATTATTAAAATTACTTTATAAATTTTTCAAAGAAAATTCATAGAAATTTTTTTTATTTCCTTTTGTAAAATTATTGATATATTATGTAAATATGTTTACTTACCAAAACTTCAAGCAAATACAAATCACTAACGTCCGGATTGATATCGTTCAGTAAATTGTTTGCTAAATTCAAAATTTTTAACTCTTTTAATCTAAAGAACTCTGAAGGCAAAGTGGTTAATTTGTTTCGACTTAAATTAATTTTTGTTAGTTTTTCCAATGTCCCAATTTCTGGCGGCAATTTGATTATTGCATTATCATGAAGCTATGATTATTATAGCATAGTTAAGAATTATGTTAAAATTAAAGTAAGATTTATGGTTTACAGAAATTAAATACATACATATATATATATCAATTTTATAAAAATAATTTAATAGTATATTTATTTTTAAACTTAATCCAAAACCACTTTTAGGTTGATAGTTTTCCAAAAATATATTTAAAATAAAACTGATAAGAAAGTACTTACATCAAGAATGGTCAAATCATATAAATTAGAAACCCTTTTTGAAATACTTGTTAAAACATTTGAGCTTAAGTCTAAATTTGTTAAAGCTTTTTGATTCCACCAACATTCTTCCTCTTTTTTTTCCATATTGTCTAAATTGAATTCAAGTTCTTTTGGATTAACTTCTTCGGCAATATTCCACAATTTATCTGGAACTAAAGAAAATGAGATTAATTTTGTTAATTGTTTGCAAATTATTGAATTTATGTGCAAATTTAAATTACAAATTATTTTTATTGATACTTATAGCTCTATCATGAACTCCACTCGAACAATCCCACGAATTACAAACATAACTACGACGTAGACCTTTAAATCACAAATTCTTTTCGTAGATTTTATGAATCACCAATGACAGTATCATTTTTCGGAGTGACAAAATCAATATTTTATTTCAATATATTTTTTAAAATATTCATGCAAAAGAATATTTTTTAAAATATTTTTTTTTATTTGAAAGTTTTGCGGGTTTTTTAGTTTTTGAATATTTTTGAAACGTGGAAAAAAATTTTTTTGGGAAAATGAATTCATTTCCTTTTATTGTAGCTGTGTTAGAGTAACTGAAACCCAAATAAAAAAATTCCAAATTTTAAAATTTAATACGACTCTTCTCTTTAAATTGCTTGTTACGAATGATTATTTCTTTCGTAGATTTTCTTAATTTCGTTCTTAATTTTTGCTACGAACATAATTTATGATTACTTTATTACGAATATTCGGAGCAGAATTTTAGTAATTCGTAATTGATACTATTATATTCGTAATTTTCCAAATTTCAGAGCTACGAACAAAATTCATGATAGGGCTGCTAATTACTTTTACTAACAAGTAAAACTCATGTATAGAAGTTCTTCAGATTTTAATTTTTATTTAACATTTTTTTTTTTTTATTTTATTGAGAAAAACAATTTTTTGCATTTTACATTTTTTTTTAAACAATTTGTGGTGCTTCCTTTACATTTAATTTAAAATGTTTATATATTTTTCCAAAAAATATTTAATTTTCATAAATTTTAACTGAAAACATTTTTGTTTCAAACGCTTTGTTGAATATCTTTTTGTAAACTGAAAAGTTTTTGTTAACGAGTAAGAATTAGTTTTCTGTAATAACGAAATCTCCTAGTTGATACTTATATGTATTTACATATACATACATTTAGACGTATATCGTTACATAATGTCAGTGATGTGTAAAAAATGTAAAATATATATAGAACAAAGTTCAGAAACGGTATTTATTTATTTATTTATTTTTATTTATTTTTTTATTTTTTAAAAATTATCTTATTTTTTGGAAGAATAAATTATGTGGATATTCAAAAACTAAGGGACAATTCACAAATCTTACACAAAAATTAAAATAACTGCTCTTTTATAACAACATACATATATGTACATAATGTGTATACGACTCATCACCTTTTTTTATGTAATTTACACAATTTGGTGAACACAAATAGCTATACGAAGCAGGCTTAATCCCTTTTTTATGAACTTTAAAGCGCAAAATATAATTAAATACATATATTTCTACAGATCTCTATGCCACCTAATCTCATAATTACCATACATATACATAAACTAATATGTGCATCGTTACTGTATTCTGGTTTCCCTTTCTATGCTGATTAATTCTAAATTACTATTAATCTCTAGCTAAAAATTGTTCAACTCTTAGTCCTATGTAATCGAAATGGTTAGTTCTAGGGGCAATAAGTTACATTAGATATAGCATAGGTTCGCTTACTTATGCGGATTCATTTGCAATATTTCTTATAAATTCTATGAGCATACCTATGGTTATAAAGGAAAAGTAAATAAAAAAATACATAAATATTTTTGAGATTCCTATGTATAAATTAATTACTCTAGTGCAGGGATGGGGAACCCTTTCTCTATATAAGGCCAAATTTTAGTCAATGCAAAGTCAATCAGGCCGCAAAGTTTAAAAAAAGTCCAAAGGTTATAAATTTTTGCTTTGTGTAGGTTGATGAAAACAAAATTATGTCAGAATATAAAAAATAACATAAAACAGTTTATTTCATAAATAAAAATAGATAAGTAAGTATGTACATTATTAATAAAATAATATGGTTCATTATTTCAATGACTTTTCTGTGATTGTTTGTTGCTCGATAACAATTTTATATTTGGTTCCAGCCTCGTTTGGCAGCAAAATTTTAACTTTTAAGAAATATAAGAAATAAATTTTTTTAAGGACAAAGGCCACTAAAAAACAGTTAAAAGGCCGCATGCGGCCTTAAGGCCGCAGGTTCCCCATGCCTGCTCTAGTGCATTGTCATAAAAAAAAATAATAAATTTGCGTAAAAAAGTTTCTATTTGCATTATATTAAAAATTTTGAAACAATGCTTATTGATGTGTAGAATTTTGATTATGCAATATACATATATGTATGTATGTAAGTATGTATAAATACAGTTAAGTTTTGAAGAAACAATGTCTTGAAACAAAGATTTTTTTTATTTGTTTCTCTTTTTCAATGAAAAATTTGAACTTATTAAAAATATGATTTTTATGAAATTTGTTTAAATATGTGTGTACACCACAAAATAGCATATATAGTGCATTTGTATAAATATTTACGTATGCATGTATCATATTATAATTTATCTACCAGTTTAGAAACATTTTAAGTTTTATGAAATACATATGTATGTATGTATTATGTATTTTTGTTTTTTTATATTGAATTGTTCAATATTTAATATTGTATGCGTATACAAGCGTAGAAGTCAGTCTGTAGTTTTTTTGATTTTCAAGCTTCGAAGAAGTATAAATAATACAATTTGCCAGAAAGTCGAAAATTTTCTTGGAAGACCTGAGATTACAGCATGTAGTACCCGCGGTAAAACACAGTGGTGCTCATGTTATAGTTTGGGGTGCTTGTTTAGCATCTGGGGTTAGTAATTTACATTTTATTGAAGGAATTATTGAAAAATATAAATATCTAGACATATTGAAAAATAATTTAAAACAAAGGTCTAATAAACTAGGAATTGGTGATACATTACACATACAATATTAAATATTAAAACACAAAAATAATGGTATTTTTTTCACATATTTAATAAATGGACCAATTATGAAAAAAAATTTGATTGTGATCTAAAATTTTTAAAAGCCAAGCGTTTATGAAATGTTATTTAGTTTGTTTTTATTATATTGAATTTTTTTTTTAAAGAAAATTATGTTGCAATCATTCAAATTTTTATATTCAAATTTTCTTGATTTCATATATTTGTTTTGAATTGGACTATTTATATATGATATGCACTTATGTATGTACATACATATACATATTAGGTCTGTCTGATATAAGAAAGTTTTTAAAAACTTTTATAAGCGTTATAAAGTTTTCGTATTCCCCGATAACTAAAAAGAGAGAAATGATCACGTTATTATTTATAAGGTTTTTCAAGTTTTGTAAAATAAAAGGTCTGTCCGGGATAAAGTTTGAAAAAACTTTAAACTTGATAAATATGCTATAAACGTCAAATTTCAAAGTATTTACCAAACATAAAAAAATATTTTTTGGTTAAACCAAAAACCGAAAATTTTGATTTTGGATTATAAAGTGTGAAATTTAGAAAAAACCATTTGTAAAGCCATTTTGCTTATTTTATTTTATATTGAAAAATTTTGAAAAAAAAGTTAGTTTTGTTTAAAAGTTTTATTTTCCAGAATAAAAATCTTTTGACATAACCAAGAAAAACATGTTTTTCGACAGCTGTAAGATCTCAAAAGTTTTTAAAACACTAAATTTTTTGTATAATCAAAAAATATTCGTTTATGTTTAATAAAATATTTTTGTCACATATTTAAAAATCTTTCCATCTGGTTTATTTTTTTTTTTGACATGAGAATTTTTTTCCTTCTAAGAGAAAATACGTTACTGGTTTTTCTTTTTAAAGTTTTTTCAAGTTTTACACCTGATAGCCCTATTCAATATTTTACGCTCCAATTTTAAAAAAATCAGTTGGTAAGCTCCGTAAAAAATGTATTTAAAAAAAAAATTGATTACAAATTTGAACTCATCCGATCTTTAATGTCATTCAAATGGAAGGGCACTGATCATCGTTACCACTTTGGCCCTTTTTTTCTTCAGAAATAGAATTTGGCACATTTTTTGAATCTTGAAGAAAAATTCAATTTTTTTCTTTATTATGTTGTGATTTTACTCGTAAAAAACCGCAAACGATCCAAAAGTTATCACATGAACATTATGTTGTTATTTCTGTTGTAAATTGTAAATCATAATGTATGTTTTGCTAAAGATTTCACACTTTAAATTTTATACATATTCTAAAAATTTTGTAGGCTTTTTTAACTTAACCTAATATCAAATATGTATGAAATAAAAAGATTCATATTTGAATTAAGTTTGAAAGGAAAATTCAAAGTAATTCTAATAATATTTTCTCAAATTTCAAATATAACAAACAACAAAAAAATATTTCTAGATCACTTTCGGAAACATGTTACAAAAATTATAATAGTCATAAATTGAAAAAATAATAGTGAGCAGTAATCAAACGGTAGTAGATGAATTTCTGACATATCAAAAATTACCCTATCAAGATTTTCAGCACGAAATTATTGAATGTTTAAAGATAATTCAGGAAAATTTCATTTGCTTGATTAATGCCTAGTTGAAAATAAATATGTACATTAAAAAAAACATTCGGACCCTTTTTTAGCTGGTATATAGATCTTTTCAAATTCGCGTCATTCTAATACTACTGATATAGCATTGATTTTAATAAAAAATTTAATTATAAAACTTGATTAAATTTGTAACACTCTATAGAAGAAGCGAATAATCTTAATGTTCTGATTTTAAAGGAGTCTAATCAACTTTATTCTTTAATTAATTTTTAGAGTTGTTCAACTTACCTGTGGCCAGCCCCCTGCCAGATAAATTTAAAAAGCCGGATTTTAAGGCCTGCTTCATTAGTTCATAAGTTAACTCAGAGTTATCTTCTGATTTATCTCGTTTGTGGAAAACTGGATTAAGGTTCTTTAATCTTCTTACACGATTACTAGCCATTATTTGCAAAAAAAAATACGTAACATTTTATGGCAAAACTAAACAAATTAAAGCAAAAATTTTAAAACTTCCCACAATATTATATTTCGATTTACGCATTACTCTTCTATTCTACCGAAGTGCACGTATTTACAAGTTATTTTTATTTTTTTTGTCATATGTCGTTTATATTCATGAGTATGTATAACGATTTGTCCCCTATTAGAGATAGGCGATGTTTTAAAAATGCTAAAGTATATTGATATCGATTATTAACCTTTGATACGTTCGGTTAACAAATATGTGAGTCAACATTTCAATTTTTAAATATGTTTTGTTTGAAACTTTAAATAAGTTCATTATAAAATTTTGAAATGGCATTTCTACTTAACAGAAATTTGACATATATTACGCGTTTACCTTTCGGAAAAATCAAAAAGTTTGATTATTTGTTTTTTTAGAAATCGTTAAAGTTTTCGAATTTTTTTTATTTATTTAAAATGGAAGTTTTAACAATAAAATAAAAATTATTACACCGTTTACAATATTTATATTCGTTCCAGTTTCAACACATTACATAATAGTATTCACATTTTTTGTTATTTTGGCGTGTTTCAGATAAATTTTTTGTTTTTACATTTATATTAATTTGGTGGAAAATTATATTTCTTATAAATTTAAGTTACTGTTACATAATAAGAAAAACTCTTCTGTTTAATCTGAGTCTGACGAAAGACAAATAATAGAAATTATTTTATTTTACCACCAGATTTACTGTCAATATTCTAAAAGTAAAACATTTTGTTTTTTAAAATGAAGTTTTGAACGGCGATCAATTAATTTTTAATTTGGTATCAAAAAACAATTATTGTATCAAGTAGCAATGCATCAGAGAAGTGATATGCATGTCTGATTACACGTATTCTTATATACTATGAAGGTCCTTTTTTAGCATCATAAAATTCGCACAAGATCGGCTTTTTTCAAATTTTTAATTAGAAAAGGATAAAATTCAATCTTTTTTAATTTACAAGTGTTCACATTTTTAAAGTTTTGTATTACTAAAACATAAAAAAATTGATTTAAGAAATTATAGTTGAAATTTCGATTTGAAATTTGAATTTTTGATATGTTCAACTCCAAATTTTCAACTTTAAATTTTAATTTAAAAATTGTTATGTGTTAGTAAATTTCTTTCTCAGAAAACTCGAAATGAAAATAGGCAAAAATCACAGTTTTTTTCAAAAAAGCTCAAATTTCATTTTAATTTGAAAATTGTTTGTTTTAGTAAATTTATTTCATAGAAAACTCGAAATTGAAATAGGCGAAAATCATAATTTTTTTTTCCAAAAGAAAATAAATGATTCAGAAATGTCATTCAAAAGTGGATAAACTATTTAGTTAAATTCAGTTCAGACATGTGAACTTTCAAAACTTTTGAAAATTTTTCTTTTGATACATACATATGTATTTTCTCTGTGAAAATCGATTTTTGTTTCGTTAATGTGCTATGATTAGAAATGTGAATATCCTATTGTCAAATAAAGCAATGATCAGCTGTTTTTGTTATTTGTACATTTTTTAAGAAAAATCTTAAAGGCGAAAGGGTGGGTGAGTAGAATGTATGCAATTTAAATTGAATTTTATGTTTTAATTTAATTTGTCATCAGTTTCAAATATTGCAATAGTTTTTTAAGATTGAAATATTGTAAAATTAGAATGCACCCAGATTTATCGCCACATTTACACACTCCTGAATGCAATAGGTTGATTGATTTGTTGAAAGCGTGTCATACAGAGGTATATATAATTACTTTTTTTTTTATAATTTTATTAAATTGCAGTGGCTTATTTGGCTGTTTCAGAACAAATTTTTGAGGTTTGTTGGTCAATGTAATGAGATTGACAGAGAGTTGTGGCGGTGTTTGAAAAAGGAGCGTGAAGAGAATATAAGAAATAATCGTCGGAAAGCACAAGAAAAACATCAGCGAATACGTGAGAAAATTAAAGAAGCAGAAAAAATTTCAACTTAAATTTAAAGCTTGCTTACAAGACAATGAGTTGCGATAGCGGTGATGAAGACTCTTTAAACCAATTTCGCTTTGAAGAGGAAGAACAAATTATAGGGCAAGAAAAGGTTCATTCTATTACAAACTATTATGTAGAAAATTTTCCATCAAGTATTGATAGATTTTTTACACGTTATTACTATATTAACACAAAAAATCATAGAATCGCAACTGAAAAAAATTTGGAAGTATATTCAGTTTTATTTCATTCAAATCGAGTTTGTTTGATAGGGTTAGCTGATTGTCACCCCGCCCTCAATAATGGCATTGAAAGTATAACATTCGAAATTGGAAATTGTAATCGCAGTTTAAATAAAGTTTCAGGGAAAGGAAAAAAAGGTGGTATGATACTTCAAGAGGATTCAACATTAGCTATTATAATTGATAAAAAGTCTAACTTGTACAGGATTCCCAGTTGTATTCGAGGGAAATTAATAGAAATTAACGAGCGACTGTTAGATCTTAACAATATAAATATTTTAGGAAAAGAGGGGGATGGATTTATAGCCATTGTTCTCCCCAAACCAGAACATTGTAAGAAAATTAAAGAGGACTTATTATCTAAGCAATCCTATGAACAATACAAACGTGTAAATCTTTAAGAATTAAATAAAGCATATGTAGGTAGTTTCTTTTTAAAACTGTCATTTAATAACGTCTTAACGACGAAAAATTGAAGGCTTTTAAGGCTTGTTTTTAGTGCTTGGTATGTTGAAGTGGGTAAGTGGATATTATTGCATTCAGCTTAATAGGTTTTTAGATATTTGGACTTAGAGCAAATTTAACTTATTTATTTTTGCATTTTTGAGTATAGCTTTGATTTTTGCATGTACATACATATGTATTTCTGCTTTGAGAAAAAAATTGTGAACATCCGTGACTTCTATAACGTTTTATAAAAAGTACGGTATTAATACGATTGTACTACCGTCTCAGAGCTTTCAATACCTTTAAATTGTAAAAAAAACTGTTAAGGTTTTTAACACATTTTGGAATACAATTTTTACAATATTAATACATGCTTGTTTACAAATTTCAATTTAAAATTCTGTGCAAATGCTAATTTTTAATAAACGTTACTACATCATTAAAAACATAGCACTTTTATGCTGCTTTTTAGAAAAAAACTTAATAATTAGCACTTTATTGCTGAAAATATATTGGTTGTTTCTGGCAACCTTTTTATGATATGTATAAGAAGAGCGTGCTCGATTTTTTCGATACCCAATTTACTTTTATTTTACGTATCAAATACGTACAGAACGCATTTTGGAAAAGTGTAATTTGTCATGAGCTTTTACTAAACTTTTTGGAATGTGATACTTTGTAAAGTTTAAACTTTCATGTCATGAGTTTTGAAAGATCATGCTTTAATATAAACTTATTATATAATATGTACGTATTTTTATTTAAAAGAGTAGAAATATGCAAAAATATACTTTTGGATAAAGTTCAGATCTTTGCCCACCAGACTTCAATCAATGACGGGCTTATGCACATACATACATATGTACATACATATACATATGTAGCATTAGAAAGCGATAAAAATAAAACAAATGTTACGTTGTTTTTTTCTTTTGTTTTTTTTAATTGGTAAACAAAATATGTATTTTTTTTTTTTTAAATACGTTGCACAATATTTCCAGGATGTTGATTTTTTCATTTATATTATATATATTTATAATATAATATATGCTGGTATGTAAGAATTATATAGCACATACTTGTCTGATATATTGGGACACAATATAAATTTTTCCTAGTTTTTTTTTTAAATATTAAATTGTATGCAAATTTATATAAGTACTTTGTTTATAAGAATAAATCTAAACATTACATGTATACATACATTAAAAATTAACTTCCTCAATATTGGTTTAAAATTTATATGTATAACAAAAAAACAGTGTTTAGGCTTTTCTTAAAGATTTTAGCTTTTTCTTGAGAAAAACAAATTGTTCATGTATGTACATAAAAATTATATTGTTTTTATGCTCTTATTTTGTACACACAAACGCTTTTACGTTTTTATATTTATAGATACTTGAAAATTTTCCTGCTTTTAGTGTTATATGTACATATGTAAATATGTACGTATAGCGTTTTCAAAAAGAGTAAGGATTTGCCTACATATGTGTGTATGTAGGTGCATGTTAAAATAATAATTTTAATTTTTTAGTATTTACTATTTAAATTTAACTGATGTTTGTATGTACATATTCAACTTATTGTTGTTAAACTAAGAGGATATTTATTTTTTTTTTTATTTTTTTTAATTACATAAATATTCCTAAAGAATTTCAATAATCCTAACTAACTACTCTTCAAAAATTATAGAAAATAAATTAAAAGACCAAAAAAAATTTTTATACATATAAGAAACGTTCATCAACCACGAAAAAGCAAGATAATAAATTTTTGTGTCTCTTAATGTAATTTTTATGAATATTATTGCTATTATTTATGCGATTATTTTTATTTTTCTGGATTTTTATATGTATGTGTATGTTAAAAATTATTATTTCTTTCAATTTTAAAAATTAACATAAACAAATATTCTTCTATAAGTTTCGTTATTTATACAAGCTTCATATTAATGCGTGCATTTTAACGATCTTCCAGAAATTTGCTGGTTGAAGGATATCTTTCTGATTAAATAAATTTTGGATGTTGTTATTGTTTTGGTCAAATGACTAAAAATTTCAATTTGATCAATTAGTTTAAGGATAAAAAATTGGTTTTAACAAATTAAAAAGCGGGCTAAATACCACTATTTAATTAATTTTTATAAATTTAAAATTTTTCATAATAAATAATAATTACATTAACAGTTCAGATAGATGTTGAAGCTATAATTACGAGCAGGGTTTCTCTATCTATCATGAACTGAATACTATACACAAACATAAATTTTAACAGATGTACATATATTACATTTCTTTCTTTTTTTAGCTCTTAAACTATATAGCATAAAATAATTTTTTTCTATTTTTGTTTTTATACATGTTCATTAATTATTCTGTTTATTAAGAACATTAATAAACATTTTTTTTAAACATAAATTTTATTCAATAAGCTATATTAAAAATATTCGATAATATTTGGATTATAATAAAGTATATTACTTTAGTTTTATGTGTTGGAAATACATAAAGAAAAGAGTTAGTAAAAATATTTTATAATTAATAAAACGCGAAAATATAATAACATAATTGAAAAAAAATGAACTAAAACATGTTTTAAATGCGGTTGTTGACTTCAAAAGCTATTTTATAATATTGTGTGCAATTAAAGGATACTAAACCTAAGTATTAATAAAAAGCATTAATCCAAAGTAGCGCGGCTTTATATATTTAAAATTAATTCTATAATTATTTGTTCGAAAGTGTTAATTAAATATTTATTATATTTTCCTTTAATAATAGAATTAAATTATAGTTTCTTGTAGTGTTCTAAATATTTGATAAAAATTATAAGTTCGAAAATTTTCATATGTACATATTATATAAATACATATGTGTATGTATGTATAATATATTTGTGTACAATATATATTATACTAATTTGGTATTTTTCGATATTTATATTATTAACTTAAATTACATATATATATATATATATCTTTATATAATAAACTTTAATTTTCCCCTTTTAATTTAATTTTGATATACCTATTCAAATATAATTAATTATAAATAAATACGTCATATATATATTCTAATAATAAAATTTTATTTAATTCAAAGAAATGTTATTAAATATTTATTATATGATTTCAGATGTACATATTTGTTTTTAATAACCTTCCCCTTACAAATACGCATTGTTAATTGTATATGTATAATGAGAATGCGAAAAGGTGAATTTAATTAAAAAAAATAATTTTTTTTTAAATGTTCAAATTTTCGTTAATTCCCGCTCATAACGACTTTAAAAACATACATATATTAAAAATTATAAAGGGTGTACTAAAAAAATTCTATGTTTTATTTTAGAAAGGATTACAAGTAAAAAGAAGGTTTGTTGTTTTAAATTACTCAGTTTTTATTATACACAATATGCCTTTTTATATTTCAGTAAAATATTTTATTTCCAGTGGAATAAATTAATTTTTAGATGTTAATTTTTTTTTGTTTTGAAATCACAGAGTAATATAAATAAACATTTTTGATATGGTATTAACAAATAGCAAAACAAAATCATATATTAAAACCAATTGAATTAAACAAAATTTTGTTATGCATTTTATTTGAGATACCGTTACATAAATGAAAAATTAAAAAAAAAAGTTATTATAATAATTAAATAATATTCGTAATTATCAGTAACATGTTCTAATAAATAGTTAAAATCGTTAAATATCGTGTTGGAAGAAAAAACGAAAAATCAAATAAGAATTTAAATATCTATTTGTATGTATGTATCTCTCAAATCAGTTAAATGTTTATTTGAAAATTGATTTTGATGTAAATAATCAATTGAGAAAATTAGATCAATTTCATTAAGTGCTTTTTTTTTTTATTTTTTATACTTTAACCATTAAACATGTGAATACAAAAAACTGTTAATTTTCTTTACTATTTTAAAAAACTTAAAATTTCAAGTTCTATTTTTAAATTTTATTGCAAAAATTTTTTTTAATGAAAGTTATTTAAATATAAAATTAAGTTATTTAAATTATAAAATTTAATAAAATTATGATTTAATAATATTGAAATTTAAATTGTACGGTTTTAAATATATGCGTTGGTGTGCTTATGTACATACATATCTGTGCTTGTTGTTGGCTATCACAGAGGTTAAATTAAATATTGATTTTTCTATAAAGGTGTTAATTCTTTGTCTAGTTTTTAAAAACGGTTTAATAATATTCAAATATTTAATAGTTTATTTACTATTTTTTTTTATAATTTTTGTCTATATTTTTTAAGCTGTTAATTTTATGGAGTTTATCTTTAAATTAATTATTTTAATATTGGTTATTTTAATATATATACATATTATATATGTATATATATATATATGTGTATTTATTTATTCTCAACTTTTACTGGTACGATCGTTATCATGTGAAGTTGAGTCGAGCTTATTCAATGTTTGTTCAGCCATTTTCTTATATTTTCCAACTAATTCAGGTAAATCGTAAGCAATGGCAACATCTAATTTTTGTATGGGACATCCACGGAAGTATGTACATGTTTCTGACAATTTTTTAAATTCATATAATGGATTTAAACGGAAGAAATCACGATAAACATCTGGATCTGGTAAATCATAACGTGATATATTTGTTAATGTTGATAACCCTTCATAAATGTGGTAGTTTTGTGGATTTTCAATGATTTGATCGGATATTTTCTTTTTGTTTCCAAATATAGTTTTATGATTATAATATGTATTTAAGTAGCAATCAACCATTTTGGCATGATTACGAACGCGAACCTTAAAACAAAAAATTAAAGAAAATTATAAATAAACAATAATTGCAATATTGACGTAATTGTGCAACAACTTTGTACTTACAGCAAAACGACGCGCACTTGCAATTCTATTTTCAATTCTTTTCTCAATTGCAGTTCTTAAGTCCCTTAAAAATGCACGCTCTTGCGCTTGCAATAAACGTACTGGCGAATTTGGTTCATATGGATGTGACCACAATGATGTTGTATACATAACTGGTGGTTGAGCTGATGACATTAAAGGTGAAATATTCCATATTAATGCACTCTGAACTCGCAATAATTCATCAGGATGAATTGTATCAGCTTTATTCAATAATATTCTTGTTTGATATTCACGTCCCTTTAATTGATCTAATATTGCTTCAGTTTCAGGACCAACATCAAGTTTAGCTGGATCATATATTAAAAATATAATGTCAGCTCGATCAATAAACCATTGGCAAGCGTCATTGAATGGAAATAGTCTGGAGACTTGTTTACGAACTTCTAAAATTCCAGGAATTTCAACAATATTAACCTAAAATTGAAATTTTTAATACATATTTTGTTAATGTGCTTCTATTAGGCATTTTTTTGTCAAAAAAGAATTTATTTCTTGTAAGATACAACTATGTTATATTTATTATAAAACATAATTGTATACAGTATACAAAAATGCTTTACTATACATATATTATCATATGAACACCTTTTCTAAGAGTGGATTCGGCATTTTTAATCCACGAAGACGCTCTTCTAAACCTTGACCGAATTTTTGCAATCCAGAGAATGTGTAGTCAGCTGCCAGTTGTGTACCATCTAAAACTTCAGTTTCATTGCCCCACATTAGAATATTGAAATAAGCTGGTGACGGTTCTGCGCCTAAAAGCATAGTTAAAGATTTAAAAATTCATTACATAGCCAAAAATATTCTCATATTATATTTATAAAAAAGGTCTAAAGTTATACCGGTTCGAAGGGAATTTGATTTAAATTCATTATCAGTTAAATAATTAATGATTGAAGATTTTCCACCACTCCATGGCCCCATAAATAATATTAGGGGTTTTGAAAAAATTTCTGGGTCTGAAAAATGTCGATTGCTTAAGTCACGGTATTTGTAAAGAGTTTCTAATGGTTTAACAGCATTTTCGTAGATGCGCTTAATGTCACGTAAAATAACTTCAGCAACATTATCTAAAGCATGCTCCTGTTCTTCGTATTCATCATCTAAGTGAAGCAATTCATTAATATGACTACGATCTCGGGGATGTTCCGGAATTTCAGCTTCCTAAAAAAAATAAAATGGTTAAAAATAAATAATTTCCAACAACTCAATTTGCGATACCAAAAGGAGATCGTCTTCTGGGCGAGTTTCTTTACTTTCTCCATCATCTTCTTCATCTTCCTCTTCACCTTCATCGTCTTTCTCTTTAGAAGCTTCTTCATCATCGCCATCATCATCGTCAGTTTTTTCTTGGGTAGTATCATCTTCTTCAGGTCCTGCACCTACACTTCTCTTTATTCTGCTTGTTATATGTTCTTCTTCAGCTTCTTTACTTTCTTCATCTTTAACTTGTTCTTTGCTTTCTTCATCCTTCGCTTCCAGACTTTCCTCATCTTCGGCTACGGCTGTTTCCTTGAATCATAGTGAGGAAATTTTATAAGAAATTTGCAATTATAAATAAGTTTTGTGTACATAGGACGATTAATTTTGTGGCAACCTAAATATATTTAGCACAATATTAAATATTTTGTTTATTTTCAAAGTGTTATGCAGTTAATACGTAGATATTTCATTCAGTCAGTGAAAAAACTAACTTTTATAAATTGTGCATTATACGTGGTACATTAAGTAAATGAAGACCGAACTAATATAATTTTATATTTATCGTGTTAACTTATTCACCTTGCTTGCCTCATCCTTATGTTCATCATCTTCACCCTCTTTTTCTTTAGTGGTATCTTCGTCATCGTCTTGTTCATCATCATCTTTTTCCTTTGTTGCGTCTTCTTCCTCTTCATCATCATCTTTTTCTTTTGTTCCATCATCCTCTTCATCTACCTTTTCTTTTGTAGCATCCTCATCTTCATCAGCATCAGTCTTTTCCTTGGTTTTATCTTCGTCATCATCAGCCTCTGATTTCATATCATCGACTTCTTCTTTAGTGTCATCTTTTACATCATCGTCTTTATCGTCATCTTCATCGTCAGTCGCAGCTTCAGTTGATTTCTGTTGATCATCGTCATCATCATCTTCATCATCAGCCTTGCCTTCGGTTGATTTTTGATCATCTTCGTCACCTTCTTGTTCATGTGTAACATTTTCATCTTTGTCATCATCATCATCATTATCATCAATTTTTTCTTGTGTGGTATCTTCATCATCATGATCATCTTCATCATCGCCTTTTTCTTGTGTTGTGTCATCTTTATCCCCATCGTCTTCGTCTTCTTGGTTTTCTCCAGATTTTTCTTCAGCGGCTTCTTCTGACTTTATATCATCTTGTTCATTGTCTTCTTCCTTTGTTGTTGCTTCATCCTCTTCATCGTCGTTCTTTTCAGCAGTGGTATCATCATCTGTTTCTTCCTTAGTTCCATTATCGTCTTCATCTTTAGCTTCAGTTTCATCATCGTTATCATCATCAGCAAGTTTGCTGTCTCCACCATCATCATCGTCTTCTACTTCAACCGTTTTAACGTCACCACTTTCGTTCTGCTCTTCATCATCATTTTCATCTGCTTCATGATCTTCTTTAGAATCTACACCATCATCATCAGCTGCTCCCTCATCTTCTGTACTTCCACCAATAGTTTCTCCACTTGGAGGACCATCGTCGTCATCACCATCTAATCTTATGAAACGAAGTTAAAATCGTTAACAAAAATGATAAAATCCCGTTATATTTTATTATAAAATTTATACCTTTTTCGCTTTGAAGTTCCTTTATAGCTTTTTCAATATATGGTTTGCATTGTGACTCTGTTGGGCCGACCTCTGCGCTCACTTGTGCGTCTAATTTTGTTATCGTTTTTAAAACAATTTTTATCAATTTATATAATATTTTTGTTGCTGATATTTCAAATTCCGAAATATAGTGAAATTATTTATTATTATTTGTATTCAAACGAAACCTGCATGTTTATATTGTGATACACTTACTTTGGTTTTTCAAAAATTTTTATTTAAGTTTAAATAGTTGAGGACAGTTATTATGTTTTGTGTATAACACGATTAAAAAACTAACAAAGTACACAAAAATGCACCAGAAAAAATTTATATTAATTTTTGGTAAAGTTGAAAGTAAAGGCAATAAGATGCTAAAATACTCTTTTAAAATATCAAAATCCATAATAAGCTATTAAGTAATTAGTATTTAGGAATTGAAAAAACTAGCAAAGTGACTTTTATAATTATACGAGTAACATAATAATTATGCTTACTGTTAGCTTGATACTTTTTTTAATATTTAATAATGCTTTAGATATTTGATATGGCACAGAAACAATGGTATCAACGTCTGTAAATTTAATTCAAGCTTTCTAAAATAATTAAATTTGATTATGCTCAAAAAGCATAAAATATTTCTATGAATCTATAAAATAGTTATTTTATTTTTTTAACTGCAGTTTTTAAGCTTTTATATTTTTAACCCTATGTAACATACGTAGATACATTTTTATCCATGTGTTCATCTGAAACAAATTTGCAATAGAGAATACAGAAAATACAGAAGTAGGTAAAAATTTCAAATTTCTGTGAACGTAAAGTTAAGAATTGCAAAAAGTTTCGCTTACGTATCTAATGTATGTATATGCTTTTGCACCATTACGAGTACAACAATCAAATAAATGAAACCGAAGTTCTAATAATTTAAAATTTTGAAATATTTCTACCTATATACATATGTAACATCCATAATAATATGTTTATAAATTAATATGATTGATTTTTTTTGTTAAAAGTTAATTGGTTATCGTTACAATTATAAAAGTTAGGCATAAAATTTTTTAGTTTTATATGCATAAGCAAATTTTACATACTCTTCTTTAATTTTAGAGAAATAAGTAAATGAAAATATTATAAATAGAAATTGGGGGAGAAAGTTTTAAAAAAATGTATACTCATTCAAAGTTTACTTTCGTAATATTAAATAAACTCACATATAAAATTTCATCAAAATCGGTTCAGCCGAATTTGAAATACACACGTACGCATAGACCGACAGACCGATACACTGACAGTCCAACAGACCGACTTCTCTCTAAAAGTAGTTTATTTATGCTCCCCTACTATGAAGAAGTGTATTCCCACCGAAAACTCGACATCTAAAATTGGTTGCCATCACATAACCTGTGGCCACATGTATTCACAATGCGGCCGGTAAATTTTAGAAGGAAATGTGAAAATAAAGTTGGATCAAACTAATGTTTTGAAAAGAAGCACTTCTCCTTTGAAAATGTGAAAATATTGCTTTTGAAAACAATCTACGTTATTCATACATACATATTTTTATTCGTACATGTTGCATTGCTTTTACTGTTACTTTGCCGCTTTTATAGAAATTTGGAAAGCTTGTAGTTTCGGAAATATGGTGCAATTCATTTAACGAATTTCAAGAGGCGATATCTTGGGAGGAGTGTTTTCCTTATGGAAATAGAAGAGGGGGAATTCATCATTGAAGAATATTAAGTGAATCGAATAGCACCACCGCATTTCATTGTAAAAAATTATTAAAAGCATGACAATTTTTTTTGACCACTTTCTGCTTTTTCCTAATTCAATACGTTTCTTAAACAATTTTTGCGAATTGAATGCTTCGTAAAAATGTCTGCATAAACTATATGAAAAGATATACTTCGCCTAAGTTAACGCATGTGTCTTATTTATATGTCTGCAGTTTCAACATGTATATTGCATATACTAATTCAATTCAGCGTAAGATGCTGTTTTGATTCATACATGACCGTTTGTCCATCCTTCTCATTGCACGATAACTCAAAAATCAAAAAATAAAAAGTCAACAAACTATCACAAATATTTGTTATTCTTATTCTTATTATTGAACCAATTCGAACAACGGGTTCGTAACAATCATACTTGATACAACTCATAAACTGACTTACTAATATAACGTGTAATTGTTTTAATTAATAAGTATTGTGCCTATTACAATAATAATATGTAGTGTAATAGGCTCACAAAGACTATTTCGAATATTTCAAAACGAATAAGGTGTATGAAATTTAACAAGTACCCAATTTATAGTTCACATATGCCGGAGAAATTTTGAAACGGCTTAATTTGGACAGCTGCCATTCAAATATAAGCGGCCATGTTTCCAATTATTTGAGTATTGACTTTCCAAATACTACTTAATTAAATATTGACTGAAACACATTTTTATTTGTTTCAATAATGTTCTTTTTCTGCAATAAGGATGCAATAAGGAGTAAAAAGTGTAAACAAGTAAATTGTGGTGTTTACTAACATAACAAATAACTGTCTGTCTCAAATGTACCATGGAATAAGTTTTCAAACATGTCACTGATTAAAAGATAAACAAATAAATATATGGAATAAGTTATAACTTGGTGTAATAAATGCAAACAGAGTGTGTTATTAGTTTTAAAGCATATTTTTTTATTTACATATTTTATTATTTTCAAAAACAAAACAACGTACTGTTAAATTCACAAAATATCATAAAAAACTATAAATAATTTTTGGCCCTAATTTTTAGGTAATACAAATGGAATTTTTTTGAACTTAATAAGTACATAAGTACACAATGAATATTCAATTAAATCAAATTTTTTTTGGCAATCAACTTCTTAAAAAAATAATTATATTATTTTTATAATTGTGCATTATAATATGTTTTTTAATAGTTTACCTACATGAATATATAAGTATATAAAATCGTATACCTTGATGTACATCCATTTACATATCTACACCCATATGTTATTATGAGATTTATTTTAAATAAATTTAAAAATTTTTACTGACAAAAGTGTATTAATTATCATTACGAAACTTATGAAACAATTTCAATATTATTTTTAGTACGCGAGGACATGTAAGTACTGAAGTTTAATAGGTAAATGTTCATACTCGTATTATACATAATAAGATCAAAATTTTATTAAGTTGAAATGTATATTTTTGGGTCAAAACACAGTACCCATATTCGACATTCAAAATTGAAAAATTTTAAGCATTTGTTGAAATTGTTTTGTAATATCGTGAAATACAATTTATAAAGAAACCATTAGTTTTCGAAATAATTTGATGATTAATTTGAAATTTTTTAGTGCAAAAAAAAGAAAAATGGTTTAAAAATATTTTTAAAAGCACCGTCTTGTAGCGCCATGTAATTTTTGAAAAAAAAATTTTTACAATTAACAAAAATTGTACAAAATTTATGTTTAAAAAATTTTTTCTTTTAATTTTATATGTACATACGTATAATGAAATGATTTTCTGATCAAGTTATAGTTTTCTTGACATTCTAATTTAAAAATCTCAAAAAATAAACATAGTAAAAAAAATGTAAATTAAATAGAGAATAAAGTCAATTAATCCATTGGAATATTTAGGATAACACGGTAAATTTTATGCAATTGAAAGTGAATTGAAAAATACAATAATATTCATTATACATACTCATGGTGTTTAAGCAAATCTAGGAAGATCGATTAATAAACTACCGATGTTTTTAGATTCGATATACATTATTTTACTGATATCAAGATATATTTCCTTATTATACAGACATACATATGTATGTATATCCTTATGGTGAGAAGCAGAATCAAAAGCGGTAGTTTATAATATAATAGTTGGCTTTGAATCTGTTAGGATATTTTATTATTTGAAATTTGGAATTTAGTTTCGAAAAAACAAGCTGTCAGCAATTAAAAGTTTGGCCATTTTTTCGGACCGAGTGGACAGAATCGAAAAAGAAAAACAAAATTTTCTGACAAAATGAAGTACATTCCTTTTAAAATCTAAAATTGTTTTATTAATTTAAGGGAGCGGATATTTTAAACTACATTTTCTATGTAAGGTTTGTCTATGTAGGGTTTGTCTATGCCAGAAAATGATATTTTATTTTCTTTTATTTTGATAAAAGAAAAAGCATATTAATTGTACTTTAATTTTTACATTTGTGTAATTTCTAAATTGGTTGAATATTTTGTGTATAAAATTGCATGGCAGCTTTATTTTATCAAAGGTTTTAAAGTTTTGTAAAGAGAAACGAGACAAGGCAGAGTGAAAATACCGAGGATTTATTCTTTAGTTTAATTATATACTTCTTTAACAATTTAAAAACTTGAACGCTTGAAAATTAATGCATTAAAAGTCGAAAATTTCTTCAGGATAAATGAATATGAATAAAAATTAGTTCTTTTTATACATGGCTTTCTTCATCATATACATGGCCAATTTAAAAAATTGCCTAATTTATTTAAAGGATCTGAGAATTAAACAGAAAATCCAAGTAATTAAATAGAGGATCTAAAAAAAACATTAAAAAAAAGAATAATCGAAAGTGAAAAAATAACGCACCTCATAAATAATATAAAAATAATAAATTTTGCACTTAAAGAAAGTTCATAAGAACAAAACTGAGTTTTTATTGTCATCTTTTATTCTTATGAATAAAAAAGTTATGAGTTTTTAAAATATATATACATGTACATATTATACACTTATAGAAAATAAATTTTCTTAAAGAACAAAGTGTTTCAGTTTAAAGTTACATCGTATTTTTACGAACCCATATACATAAAATATCAATGTAATAAATACTCTTTTCAAAATTTTCCAAACAGATTTTGTTTTCTAGTAAACATGGAACATAAATTATAATAAAAAAATTTACTTTTTGTGCCAAACAATCTAATTAAACTCAACAGAATTTAATTGTCATTAATATTACTTTTTTTTTTATTTAACCTCACCATTGGTGCAGTGGTTATGACGCCGGCCCTTTAATCGAATGGTCTCGGGTTCAAAACCCGGTCAGGTCACTATAAAAATTATATTCAATATTATATAACTTAACATACAATACTAATAAATATTATACAAGTAATTTTCATATATTTATAATATTCGATATTAAAAACTAAAAAAAATTAACAGTAAGTATTAATAAACTTAAATATTTAATATAAATAAAACTACGGCAGGCTAGTCACCTAGCTAGTTAACTCTATGACGCTATAAAACTAGGGCATGATATCTAGCCCTATGCTCCTCCTAGGAGTGAAGAAGGAAAGAAAATATTTCTTTAATTTAGTGAATGTGCTTTCACAATGTTATTTTCAAAGAATAATACTCAAACCAAGAAAATGCATTAAGGAATAATTTGAACAAAATTCTACTAAAGTTGTATTAAAGAATGTCAAAATTTTTAAAATGTATATAATGTGCAAATGGAACATTTTATATACATATATATTTTCATATTCAACAACATTATTCACACGGGCAGTATTCATTTAAAAATAAAAATATATGTATGTATTTATTATAAAATTTTTGGAAAAACGCCAATAAATGTCTAGATTAAAAAATATCATCTACGTGTATTGTTCAACTTTAAATTCTTTTCTTAATCTTAAATATTTACTTATACAAAAAAACAATGTATTCTAAAGATACGTATGGCAATAGAAAAATCCCTTCGTTGATATGATCAATGTCATGTAGGCGGATTGACCTTCTTTTTGTTTATTGTTATCCAGGTTATTATGAAAATAATAAATATAGTTGCATAATAAATTTTTGAATTGTCAAAGAATTATGAATATTTTTTAATTCTATCTTTGTACCATATACGTATATATAGTTCCAATAATTTAAAAAGTTCAACACATTTTGAGAAAATAAACTTTTGAATAACTTTTGTGATTTGAAATGTGTGTGTATTCTACTTTGAAATTTCAAAGCATTTTTTTGCTTATTTTAAAATTTGAGAAAACTTTAATCATTTATTATACATATTATTTTGTTTTATTATTTATTTTAGGTTTTGCTGAAAAAGAGAATAAGTTCGAAAAGAGAATTCATAAATTATAGAATAAAAAGTATTGCCAGACCTTCTCAGAATTCTACTCAAAAAGAGAAAATCCAGATTTAACGTTATTTTTAATTGACTTTCTTTCTTTGAGAAAAAAAAAAATTATTAATTTAGAGGCTAATAGTTTTATGCATATCGTGCATATTACTATTAGCCTCTGAACCATTTTGATTAACCAAAAAGTAAATCAAAAAGAGAAACTAAAATGTTACTAAAATTTAAACAAAATGTTTTAATCATAAACAAACAAATTAAAGTTTAAATTGTAGAGTCTCAAATGCACTAATCTAATATGGTTATTATTGAGTGCTGCATTTAACAACAATAAGAGAATAGAAAAATATTTTTATTGGCGTTATTGATATTATTTTCAAAACATAAAATTAAAAACAGGGTATAAAACAACTTGGATTTGGAAGATTGTCAATTTATGTTGTATTTTTGAAAAATTGTTAGATGGGTATATAAATATATTTAAAATTCTCTCAAAGGGAAGAAGGTTTCAAATTATATAAAATAAAAAAAAATTAATTCAACAAAAATTGTTGAAAAAATTATTGAATAATTACGAGTAATTCATTGTGAAAACTTTTCTGATTAGTATTTGAATACAGTCTATGATTATTAATTTATAAATACAAATAAAATACCTATACAATAATATTTGCGTATTATAAAAAAATATATACAAAATGAAAATATAATGTTCGTAAGTTTTCTAATTTTTTCGTCAATTGATTAATACATATATCATTTCTGAGTATCTGTTATATTTAGTAATTTTTTGATTGAAAATATTCTTCAGCAATAATACCGTTAATCAATGGAGTTTTATTTATATAAATGTAAAAAATTAGTGCAATTATTTTAATATAAATAAAAATTTTTTAATAATAATAAGAACGGGGGTATATGAAATGGTTTTATGTTAAAATTTATATTTTTTATTTTATGATAGACTGGTAACACTCATTATAACAAAATTTTATAAATAAAATCCCCGATTTTTTCTTATGCATGTATTTATATATAAAGTATTCATATATTTTCTGAAATTTTTCCTTGATTTTCTCTTATTTTTATATTTTATTTTAAATAATTCTAATTTTAAAAATAAGTATAATATCACAATAATCATGTACACTCAAAAATTTTTAGCAAAACTGGGGAACGATACGTTTTTTTTGTTATATTTTTTTTTTCTTTTAAAAATACATTTTTTATGTTTTGGTTCATGTTATACATAAATATTATAATGTACCTACATACAAACATTCATGTAGAAGTTTTTTATAAGTACGGCAACAAGGTATACTAACGCTAAAGCAATTTAATATTTTTGATAATTTTATATCTTCATATGTACAGTTATGTATGTATTATTTTTTTTGCTTAAATTGCATAATTTTTTCTTTTTTTTCAATTTCTTTTTTTTTAATTTTTCATTTTTAAATTTTTTTTTTAAATTATATAATACATTACGCTATATGTATAAATTATTTTTTGAATAATTAAAGATCACTGAGAATTTAGATTAAAATTTTTCCTTTAATTTGCATTATTGGAAACTTTTGTAATATTTTTTCGAATACTAGAATAATTACATGTTTATATATCCTTTATTGGGTAACACTTTTTCACATTATTACAGTTAATTTTTTATTTAAATTTTCTTTCGTTTTTTTTTTAATGTCTATCTGTGTATCACAATATTCATTTGACGTAGACGGGTTTTTGTTAAAAAATCGTTTGCTATCGGTTTAATTGAAATAACAACAACAAAAAGGTTATACTTTTAAAACCTACCGTTAAACGAGACGGCAAATAGGACTAAACCAAATAGGACCCACAGTGATAGCCGTCCCATGGTTACTTAACGTATAAGAGAAAATTTATAAAAATAATTTTTTTGATTTTTCCTTTTGGATATTTTTGGTTTTTCTTTTTGAATTTTTTTTCTTTTCTAGCAATACGTCACACTTTTAAAATCATAAAGATATTTTATTTAATTTTTTTTTGTTCCTTTCCTCTTCTCTTCTCACACTTATATTAATTTTAGATATAAATACATACATACGCATATATACGAATATACAAATATGTTTTTTTCAAAATTTCAAATTTTCGTCGCGTTTAGACACTATTAACAAATAAAATAAAAGAAGAAAACACAAATTGAAATAAAATTGAATTTTGGGTATATGTAAATATTTTTTTTTTCGGATTTTCTTATATTTTCGAATTGATATTTTTGTTTGCAAATTTAGAAATATTAAAAAAGTTCATATAAATAAAAATTTCATTTGCTTCACAAAATATTTTGATTTCGGCGATTAGAAAATAATTTCAAAATTAATTATTTTAATAATGCAATTATCGTTGGCGTTATACTTAGCTAATTTAAATTTTTATAATATCAAGCTATATATTCGTTTCGCTTAAATTATTAAATGTAAACTGAGATACAATGAAAAAATAAAATAATGAATATTTTTATTTCATATTTAAAAGCGAAAAAATGAAAGATAAAAATTATTTATAAATTTTTTAAAATATACGAGTATGCAAGAAATTTATTTATTTTATTTTTACTCATAATGATATTTTAAATTGATTTGTTAAAATGTATTCAACGTAGTTTACAGTCTTGTCTAGTAAAATGAAACTAAATGATTTTATAAACTTCTTATTACAAATTTGAAATCTATCAAATATAATGAAGAATAAAGAATTTTTTCGGTTATAAAAATTATTCTACATACTTATTTACATATTTCTATATGTAAATTGTAAACGATTCTCGATTCAAATAACAATTTAATGCTATCTTAAAAAATTAGAAATTTAAAGCTATTATATCGAACCTAAGCATCTTTAATTTGATACAACAAGAATTCGTGTATATTTATATAATTATATAAATTTTTGTATATAATTTTTTGGTTTTTAATTTTTATGTACATATTACGTATGTGAATCTCAGTCGAAACTTGAAATTTGCCAGCATAATTTTAAAATAATAAAGTGATTTTCTTAATTTAATTATTTAGAAAAGATTTGATAGAATTTTGAAATAATTGTCTTGAAAGAAATTATCATACAAAAATATTTTTATCTAATCATTAAGTACAATGAATTTGAAAATCACGTTTCGTGCGAAAAATTTCATTTCACTCAAAATGAAAATGGAAAAGTGTTAAAGGAAAATTAAGATATAGAATTTTTTTTAAAACAGTGATAATTTTTAATTTAAATTTCTCGTTCTTCTTTTTTGTTGTTTTTTTTTTTTTTTTAATATTTTTTATGAAATTTATTTTGACATTCAAGTAAATCTTTTTTTTTTGCTTTCTTAATTTCTAGGCAAAAACGCCTAATTTTTTTTCAATTTTTTTTTTTTTTTTAGAAAAAAATTTTTCCTAATATTTTATGTTATAGATGTATTTATGTTACACATTAGAAAAGAAAAATTCTATTACATTATAATATATGTACTTATATAAAAATAAAAAATTATAGTATAAAATGATTAATTTAAGAAAGATAGAATAAAACAAAAAAAAAAAAGAACGACACAGAAAAGCACAAGCAAAAAAAAAAATAAAAAAAATCGAGAAAGAGTAAAAAATATTTTACACGCGGCGTCGTCGATCTTTCCCGGTCTAGTCCCAACTCGAAACAGTAAAACTAATATTAACATATGACCACAATTCCGAACATAAATTTCACATAACATTTTATTTAAAAATTTTTAATTATGCATATTTTTTTGAGAGTACTTTTGTGAGGTAACGAAACGTTGTCATTTTTAATGTTAGAAAACGCTTTTTCCTTTATTTTATGGTTTTCCTTTTTTTTTTTAAAGAAGAAATGGCGTGAAATATTTATAATTATTCTGTTGGTATTTAAAGAAAATTAGGAAAGAATAATCATGATTATGTGGATGATGCCGATAAAAATATACATATATAATTTTTATTCTCTTAATTTTCTCTCATGATTTTTTTATTTTAAATAAATCAATATCTTATTAATTAATTGTATATACAATTTTATTTTACTTATATTTTTATGAATGTATGTATGTACATGCATTAAATAAAAATCCTTGAGGTTCATATTGTTGAAAAAATGCTTTCACTACCAAATTTCAAATTCCATATATTTTATTTGTTAAAACTCTTTCTATAAGGTTTCAAATTGTGAAAAAACGTTTTTGATAGGCAGTAGAACACAAAATTTCAGTTTGGCTGCTTTTCACAAAATTACAATTACAACAATTAATTTACGAACAATGTTGTTATATAAAGCTTCCGAATATAGTTAACAGATAAATCTTTTTTTAGTTTATTCATTCAAATAAGTGATTGCATATATTAAGGCGATGCGTAAATTATATTTTGGTAAACATCTGCAATACTGCAAAATTACATTACTTGCGTTAAAAGTATACTTCGACTCACATTGATATAGTTTTTTATTTGCAACTTAAAAATTGTAATTAATTTGTCAAACTAAAGACATTGTTTGCAAATATTATATACGTAGTCTTTGATCAAGTACAAAGCAAGGAAATTAATTTATATATGACAAGAATTTCTGCCTGTGAACTTTATTAGATAAAGTGTATACAATTACATAAAAGAACTTCTGTATAGTTTTTCGTAGCATTTGCGTAAAAATTTAGATTGCCTTTAATTTTATAGTGTGATTTAGAAATTCAGGTATTTAGTTCTTACAAATTTTTATATAATCATACCGTTGTTCAAAATTTAAACATAAAAAAAAAATACTTAATTACGGCATACAGTCAGAATATTTGTTTTTGAAATATTATTATGCCGGTCTTTTGCTCAATTTTTACTGTCAAAGTCACACAAAAAAAATTTGAATTTAAGCCAAATTCATTGATATTTTTTTCAAATATTTTTTTTCCTAATTTTCTTGTAGGTAGATGAATTTCAACCAAAATGCAAAAGAAAACAAAAACTAAAATTTGTCAATTTCAAATGGTGTGTTCATTTAATTTGTGAAAAGCTTAATTTAAAACGAACGTATGTTAGTGAAGTGTTGTTATTGCAGATGTGAAAATTAAAATTTAAGATTTTAATATTTAATTGTTTTTGTTGTTATTGTTTAATTGTTACATAGAAATAAAATATATACAAATTATTTTTTTTACAATTTGTTACTATTTTTAATAATTAAATATTCTATATATAAGAATTTTATCATTATTTTTATAGCGTTTTCTCATATTTTCATTCGTTCTTAAATTCATGACTTGTTTAAATAAGCAATATATTTTTTTAATTATTAAAAATGCTTTATATAGAGATGTAGATATTCTAAAATGTAAGGAATTATATTTAAAATATCTTTGATAAAGCATAAATATTAAAATATTTGTGGTATTAAAATATTGTGGTTGAATATTTTTGTTTCACAGTATGAGACCGATTTTATTTGGATAAATTAATATCTTTTTAGCACTAGAAACTTATACAAAAACTTTAATTTATTATGAAATAGTTTTATATATACATATGTATACCAAAATATTTGAAACGTTACACAGTCTGAATTAAAATCTATGAATCGATGAAAGTAAAATCAAGTTATAATTTTTTTTATTTTGCAAACGGATTTCAGCAATAAGGCGGTGAAATTAAAAAAAAAAATTTTTTTGCTTATTTGTGTAACTACAGTTTCTTCTTTGTTTTTAGCTTTTACATTTCGATTTTCTATAAATAAATACACAATTGATTTGCATGTAAAATCTATTTTAAAATTGTTAACATTGTTTATGCTTAAATTCTGGCAATAATTTGTCAATTTTCGACAATTTCGATTTCATTGAAATAAAGTTCAAGTTTGAGGACTCAAAAAAATGCAAATTAATAATGGTACATCTATAGAACTACGTAAGGACGTCCTAACAGTGCTTCGTGTATCAACAAGGCGTATATAAACAAAACATTGTATAAAGTCACTGTACTTTTTTCAAGAAAAATAATTATTTTATTTGAGTTAGGACAATTATATAGGATATTGAATATAAGAAAAAAAAACTTTTTTTTTGCCAAATATCAATATCTATACTTACTTGCAGATATATAAAATATATATACATAATATCAAGTACATATTATGTATGTAATATAATAGTGACGTGATGAAATAAATTTGTTTATATTTACTTTGAAGTAATTTTATTATTATCTCGCAAAACGTTTGTCTACGCCTATGTATATATATATACATATACATATATATTTATGAAAAATAAACACTCATTTTGTTTTTATATTTTATATATTACGCAACAGTCATGTATTTATAATATAGATGCATATTAATTTGAAATTGAAGAAATAATTCATTTTGTTGTTGCGTGAATGGATTGTGTGTGAGGTGAGATTTTATGCAAAGCATAAATATATACATATAATGCAGGTAACATTCATCTTATGACATTTTTATTTTAAATTTTCAAAAATACTTGTACATACCTATACTGACTGTGAATTTCAATTTTGCATTTAAATGATAATTGAAATGTGCATCATATAGTTTGTTTTTCCTAATAAATTCATGAATGTTTAATAAATTTAATAAAATTATGTCAAAATTTTGTATTGTGCAATTGTGCTAACAAACATAATGTATAAATATAAATAAACATGTATGAAAGCCAAGATGTGTTAGCAATGCAAATGTAACTATTTGTTCTAAAAAACTTTTATTTCTATTCAAAATGAAATTCGTTTATTAAAAATTTAAATTAATTTAATGTGCTTCAAATTTTGTATTCTGATTTATGAATATTAATTTGTAATTAAAATAAAATTTGAAATTGTATGGGTAGGGGATGATAAAATTTAAAGAGGTTATAAAGGCTATTAAAACCTTGTAATAAATAAAAAAATCGAAATAAAAGTAAGTAGCGCGATTCATATTTAGTGCAGTTTGTAATAAGAATTTTTTTTTGGATTTGATTAATATATTTTTAAGCTACTTCTAAAATTACAGTATGTAAGGTATATTTTTTAAATATTTTTTGTAATTACGGAGAACCATATAAAACCTTAGTTTTGAAATCTTAGTTTTAAAATTATTTTTTTTTTATTTTTAAGTATAAATTCAAATGCGTTTGTTACTACAATTCTAGAATGAAGTAGAAATTTGGTTGAAATTCAACGATAACAGTGAAAATTCCTAAAATTTTAAGGGCAAACTTTTTTTTGTGAAACACTTTTTAGAGAAATTTTGTAAGCTTATTTGCTGATTTTTATTCCATTCTTAAGCACTTTTTCAATTTTGAATTTATTAAAATTTATTTGATTTATCGTATCCTTTTATCCGTTTGTCCGTTTGTGCGTATCTGCTTACGATATTTCTACAGTCTTTAAGATGGAACGCTGAAATTTTATATACAAATATATCTTTACTTAGAAATTTATTTTCGTAGAAAATTTTTTCCAACTCGCTCCCCCCTTAAATTATTATCTCTCGAAATTTGTAAAATTTGAATTTTTGGGACCCCATACTTCTATAAAAGAACCATATATAATATTCTGATATATCGATATAATATTCTGATAATAGGTCATTTTTTAAAGCAGTGTATTTACTTTGCGAAAACTTGTGCTTTACAAACCACTGGTTTACCCGAATTTTATTCGCAAAATTTTAAAATGAAATATGTATTTTTGTAATACCTACAGGATTATTTTATTCTTTCATAAAAAAATTGTTTTCATAAATTAAATTTTTAAATATTTTTCCAGGTTGCCTGCGTACATAACATTGTATATGTATATATATGAATATGTATAATCATTTAAGCATATGCATACGTATTTATAATTTTATAGACAATTTCTACATTCTTAAAATTCTTTACTTTATTGTTTTTGAAAGACAAGGTAAATAAAACAATCTATTGTCAAAGAAAAAAAAGCAACTAAAATAAATTTATTTTGTTGAATAATTCCCAAACAAAAAATAAGTTCTACCCTAAATCTTCTATGATTAAAATCTTCTGTGATTTTAAATTTACAGAATACGCATAAGAATATATACAAATGTAAGGTGTTGAGAGTTCATTATGAATGTCAACAAAATTTTAATTTTCAATTACTTCTTTACCAAAAGTGCACTACATATTTTTACTTACGGCATTGCATACATTAAGGGACGTTATGTGATGGCACCAAATTTGGCCAGGCGAATTTTTGGTGGAAATGGTGGGGCAGTTTAAATATTCTATTTTTTTTGTTTTATTGAGATGTCGATTAGTCTGTTTGTAGATATGCTCCGTATGTTTACACGTGTATGTCAAATTCGGCTGATTCGTTTTTAATGAAATTTTATGTGTTAGTTTATTTCGGCTAAGTCATGGATTGATCAACCTTTTTGCGGGCTGTTTTTACATTTTTGCGTATATAATTAGAAATAATAAACTAATCTATTTTAAATTTACTAAGAAACTTTATTAAGAGCCAAATTTACATTTTTCTAAGTATGTTAACTTTTCATTTTTATAATTTTTTGCAAAACGATAGTTTTGCTAAACGTTGCAGTCGATTATATGTTGGTCACATCAGATTTTTGTGTTTGCATGTATATTTAAACAATGAAATGTAGGTATATGTAATACGTAAAGTATCTTGTCAACAATAAGTAGCAAGAATTCAATACTAATGAATCTCATTCAAAAATATACGTCTTAAAATCAATTTTCACGATTTTATATATAAAATGCCTATCAAGTAATTTAAATAAACTTTTAAAAATGCTCTTAATTTTATTTAATTAGTATTTTTACGCGAGTCAGTTATTGAGGGTGTTTTATTTATCTACATATGTAATAGAATTAATTCCTAGTTTAAGTAACAAAAGAAAAATAAATAAAAATAATAAAAATAATAAAAAAATTTATTTTAATAATCTTCTTATTTTTACTTTATAAATAAATTATTTTAAAATTAAAACATTTAAATGTTAATAAAAACATCAAAAAGTATCAGAGAGATCTTAAATAAGAAACAATAAATTTACATATTTAAAACTATACTTTTTAATTTGTTTCTTAAAGTAAAACTACTTTTGTCTTTTCTACATAATCAAATCTTCAAACTACTGGTTTTCGATATTTTGTTTTAGTACAATAATAACGATCTGCATTTTCAGCCCAATCACAAATATTTAATACGGTATGGAAAACTGTTCCTGGTGTGCTACATTCAAATAATACCGGTTCACCGTGAACACATCGGTAGTACTAAAAAATAAAGAAAAATAAAATTCAAAATAAATATTATTTTTATAAAAAATATATATATATATATTGCATAAATTTATTATTTAACAGATGATTAACGGACAGTATAGAACATTTTTCCTCTAATAACGTATTTGTGAAAAAAAAAAAACATATTACAGAAAATCAAAATTAATAAAAGCGACAGCTAGTATATTTTTTGAGGAGTTGAATTTAATTATGTAAACAAGCCTTTGAATTTGAAATACAAACCTTTTTACAATTGGAATGCGGAATATAATCCCGGTTTGAGCAATCTGGTAAATCATCAGTATCCGAAATTTCATTATTGTCATTGGCATTTTCATCTGGTATATCTTTCGGTGGTTTTACTGTAGAAGGAGAAGACGTTGGTTTTGGCTAAAAATAAATATGATATATAGTTTAAATTTATCTCTGTTCTTTTAAAGAAACAAGAAAAATAATTTTAAACCAAAAATGTGTACATAATCATGCAAATAGAAAGATAATTCTATATAACCATCTTCTTTTGTTAAAAATGTGATATTTAGAACGTTGTTGTATTTAAATATTTCGTGTTCTACTTTACGACTTATTATTAGTTCAATGTCAGTGCGTCAATTGAATTCGTTTTATCAATTTCGTTTTGTAAATGTTTGTAAATTAATTATGGGAAAATATTTGAAAGCATAAACAAAAATCACTTAAAATTATGCTATGAGAAATAACATTAATATTACATAAGTATATAAAACAAATTAGTTAATTAAAATGTTAAATTACTTTGCAGGGTTTCTTGGGAGGTTTATTTGGTTCAGATGGTTCCGGTGTAGTTCTCTGTGGCGTTTCCGTTGTTGGTTTGGGGGCTTGAATTGTTGGTTTTGGAGTTGGTGGTCTAGGTTTTTGTGTTGTTTGTTCTAGCATAATGCCGGAACCTTCATTTGGATCTGGTGTAGTTTGTTTAGGTTTAGCCCATTCTGGCTGTTAAAACAAAATATAAAGAAAAGTTATTAAAAAAATTTATCGATATTTATCACGATGATATACCCTAGGTGTTGTTGTTCTTGTAGGTTCTGGTACCATATAATCAACCATATTATAATATAAAATTTTCATAAGAGCATTTTCAGCACCACATAATCCATGAAAATCGTCCATATCAATTGCCCATGTCATAGCACCAGCATAACCTTTTTGTTTAATGTAATCCATTTTTATTTGTAATGATTTTTGATCTTCATAACCAACCCATTGATTTCCCTTATAAGTGTAAGGCACCATACCATGATCATCCCATTTAACAGTCCAACCTTTTGATTTATCTTGTACTTCCGTACATATTTCATAATAAGCTAAAAATCCACTTGCATTTGTATATGGACCTGGTGCACCACCATCAGCTTCTTTGTTAACATATGTACCCATATTGTAGTTTGTATTTGAATTACTTAAAGTAAAAGTACGGCCATAAAATGGTACACCAACAACTAATTTATTAGCTGGACAACCCATTTCTTCCCAGAGTGCAAGACCGTCATTCTGGAAATAAGTTTGATAATTATGTGAAAACGTTATAAGTAAGGGTTTATGTAAGTAAGTACATAAACATATATACATATATAAAGTACATGTTTTTTAATTGTTTAATTTATTTTTATATTTTGTATTTTACATACCACATTTAGTTTTTCGTATGCCCATTGATCATGTGGTCTTTTGTATAAGGGACTGTGAACATCAGCAAAACCAGCCCAATTTCCTCTTAAATCGTATGTCATAGCATGTATAGCATCTAGTTGTTCACATAACTCTGGTACATGGTAACCTTCTTGTAACCTAAATTTGGCTACTGGTACAGCCATAGTAATTTCCCATCCTTTACCAACACGATCAAATGCTCGTCTTAATTCTTCAACAAAATATAAAAATACATCTTTATCACTAAAGCTACCACCACGATCAGCAGCACCGGGATATTCCCAATCTAAATCAAAACCATCAAAATTATATTTATTCATATATTCGATGACACTCTTAATGAATTTTTGTCGACGATCTTTTGATGAAACCATTTGTGAATATTTTCGACCACCTTCAGCCCAACCACCAACTGCTAATTGTAGTTTAAGATTGGGATGAGTTTTTTTTAAGTCGGTGAAATTTTTAAAACCATTTTGATGTATATCAACCTGTAAGTGAGGATAATAAACAATGTATTACTTGCTTATTTCATACTTTTTTTTTAAGTGAAAAAAAATTTAATACCTCTGGATCAATGACTAAAACTTGCCATGTCTTATCATCAACACCAATAAATGAATATATTAAATGTGTACATAAATCTGCTGGTACATCATTTATACCATATTTACCTATACCTGGACGATAAATAGCCCAGTTGCTGAAATAGCAAACAATTCTAGCTGGTTGATTGGCATCAGCTGACGCAAATTAATATTTGCATATAAAAATAAAAATAAAGTTTACATACATATATACATACACGAATATAAATAAAGGTCAATTATTTAAAATAAAACATAATGTTATAAAATATTTTTAAATTTAATTTACGGTATACATATAAATATATGTACATATAAAAGAAGAAAAATTGGAGCATTTTCGTTTAAAATGATTTACCTGTACAAGCATAAATTAGTCCTAAAAATAGAACCGATACGAGCACGTTCAATTTTCCTGTAAAGAGTACATGCGATCGTAAAACTTTATGTGAAAATTTAAAAAAAAATAAAAAGAACTTAAAAAAATAATTTTGTTTTGATGTATGTATGTAAGTAGATAAAACAAATACATACATTACGTATTTTTAAAATCTTAGTTTTCAACAGCATGTTTAAAGATTATCATTTTTTGTTTAATTTTTCTCAAAATTCAACAACACTAATAATTTTGGATGATAAAGACATTTATTTTTGAGCATATTTTTGTAAAGATCTTGTTATTCATTCGTTTTTTTTTTTTTGACAAAATAAATTTAACAGTCTTGCCCATAGTAGGCACAAACGATTTTTCAAATAGAAATTCTTTGTCTTCAATGCACCTACATACATACATATTTATATTAAACATTTTTGTTCATTCAATAAGTATTTGATTGACATTTTGATATCTAACACAAATTAATGTATGTTCTAACATGTTTAGTGTATGTTCATGTTGATTTAAATACAATGTAATCTAGCCTGTTGAATTATATTTCGTTAAATATGAGGAAAAAGGGTATTTTTACACAAAAAGGAGTTCCAATTATGTTTATATAATAACAGTTCTATTCTGTATATTTAAAGATTAACTTTTTTTTAAATATTAAAAGAGAAAAACTTAAAAATTTTCAAGAAATATGTATGTATGTATGTAGAGCAAATAAACAATAATTTTGAGCTAATTAAATAATTTTGACCTAATTATTTTATTTGCAATAAAAAGAACATGGACACTTTTTGCAGATATTTCATCTTTTGTTAATGATTTGCAAAAAAAAAATTCAATGAAACAGAAATATTAGAAAAAATAACAACACCAATTAAAAATAAATGTCAAAAAATTTCTGGAAATCTCATCAACTTTTTATTGAAGTTTCGAAACAGGAATCGTAAAAGTGTCACTCATTTCCGTTATAAAATAATTTACATTAAATTTAATTAAGTCAATATTGCAGAAAAGGTTTCTCTTATAATTCTTTGAGTAAACTAATTGAATCGACTTCTTACATTCTAATTTTTAAAAATTTTGCTCCAAATTTAACAATAGTCTAAATCTTTTGTTTTAATTTTAACACAATTTATTTAAAATAATAAAATTTCTTAATTTAATTTTTATTGTTGATTTTTGAAACAAAAACAAAACAAGGCTATTTACGTTATGAATAACTGCAATTTTTTTTTTTTTTTGAAAAATGATTTTCAAAAAAAATGACGATCTTTATTTTCATAAATTTTGAACCTTTGAATATATTATAATAACTTTTTACAAAATTGTTCAACAAATCAAAAATTAATAAAAACATTTGTTTGACTTAAACTCAAAATTGTATTTTTTTTAATTGCAGATTAAAAAATTTTCAAAACACAGTCACGGCGTCACATCTTCAAAAAGGAAATTTTCAAAACTACACATGTGCATAAATATTCGAGATTTTATGAAATTATTGAATCGGAAAGATAAACTTAATTATGTTGTCGACTAGCATCGTAGTATTTAGGTATGAAAATTTGATTAAAGGTACTAAAATTCTTTTCTTTATGTGCATATTATTACAAAAAAAAAATTTTGTGTCAAACGAATAATTTAATTATACTCGTATTTAATTCAGTACGAAAATTTTCTTATTTAAATTTTAAAATAAAATTAAAATAAATTTACAAATTTATACTTGATTGTTTTAGAAATTTTCTGTTTAAATTAAAAATTTTTTTATTAGATTTTAATTAAAAAATATTTTTACAAAAATATTTTAAATACAGTTCTTCCAAATGGCAACAACAAGAAAAAAACAATGAATATAACAAAAATTAAATTTAAAAATTTTAATTAAAGTTAATTTTTATAGATTTTAAAAATGAAATTAAATAGATAATAAAACCAATGCTAATTTATAAATTTATAAATATGTATATATATATGCGTATATATATACATATATATATATATATATATATATATATATATAAGTTCTTCTACATACATACATTGTTATGAATTTAAGTGATCTTGAAAAAAAAAAATAGAATTATTTTAAAATGAAGCCATTATAAAAATTAAAGAGCTCTTTAAATGATGCCAGTTAAAAAGCCAATATTTGATGTGGTATTGGCACCTTGTGTTATTTTAAATTATATTTTATTTTATTTAATATTATTTATCTTATAAATTTTAGAAATATAATTATATATGTAGAAAGTTTATAATTTTAAAAATTCAAAATAACATTAAATTATTGTTCTTATCTTTTTCTCTTTTTCAAATTTAGGTTATTAAACTTATGAACTTAGAAACAAATAAAAGTATGTGTATATTAAATAGGTCTACATTAGTTTTTGATTGCATAATAAAATTGTTTTTAAATTCATCACTTAAAAATTCTTAACAAAAATTTTTTTTGCCAACATTTTAAAAAACTAAATTAGAATTTTAGCACCATTATTTTTATGAGTTTTCTTTTATGGTAATTTAATCACACTATTTGTTTTTTTTGAATTTAAAGAAAATTAAAAACAAATTCAAATTAAATTCTTTTTTTTTTGGAATAAAACAAAATTAACACTTGAATTATATTCGTGGTTTGCATATAAATAAAATAAAGATCTTCTTTTTATTATTAATTTAAGAATGATTTTGAATTAACGTAACGTATCTAAAATAAACTAATAATTTAAATCGTGAAGGAATTGTTCGTTTTGATTTTTCTTTTAATTTAATAATTTAAAAAAAAATATTCAACAAATAAACTTTAATATATTGTGTACTCGTATTTTCGATGCAGAATTTGTAAAAATTCAAATTATACTTTTCATCAAGTTCTACTATATGCTTCCATTCAATAATACAAGATATTAAATGTTGAATGAACGTCAAAAAAATACGTAATGTAATCAAAACAAATAATTTTAAAAAATTAACAAAATATTCTAAACTAACCCATCTTAAACTTATGAATGAGAAAAAGTAAATGGTAGGAACTTTCTTTATTGATTGGCTTTTTATATCTTTCTTTAAGCTTTCAATAATTTCCAATATATGTATATATATATATATATAAAAAAATATTCGTATGTTTTAAAAGAACGTAACAATAAAACACGTACATAATAAAAACAAAGCAAAAAAAAATATCAGTAACAGTAGAGAAAAATAAAAAAAAAAAAAGAAAATAAAAACAAAATGGAAATGAAACTCTTGGATTAATTTTTAATACCGTAAAACGTACAAAAACATCATTCCACAATACTAAAACGCAACATTGAGCATATACATACTTACATAGCTACACAATACGCATATTCTTAATCTTTTGTGTGCGTCGAAAAACGTTAAAAATGTTGATAGGAAATCAAAAAATTGAGATTTTTAATAAAGTTAATGTATTCGATATTATTATCTTCTCTATTGAATTCTTATTAATTCTTTAAATGTTTTCCTATCCTGATTAGAATATTAAAATATAATATGTATACATATTGCGAATAAAATGAAAATAGCAGATTCGTAATAATTATAAGAGACTTACTAAATATTTTCATATTCTTAAATTTATGACTAATAAATGCAATGAGTCTAACACGTAAATTTTGTTAATACACAAACTAAATAACATCCCCATTTAAGTCTGATCTGCATTACAATGTGTATGTACATACATATGTATATCAAACAAAATTGCATATAAACATATAATATGTATACGGATGTACGCATTTTATATGTGGACCAATATTATATTTGCTAGGTTATGGTTTCTTACTCACTCAAGTTCCTTTTTTTTCAAATATGAGAGTAGCAAACTATTTTTGATATTCAGATTTGTTGTGTATATATACATGTATGTATACATAATTATATAAAGGAAATCTTACATATTACAATTTATAACAAAAAAAGAATAATTTAGTATTCAACGCACTTAATTGAACAAAACAAAAATGTATGCTTATATTATGTATTTTTATACTTACATAATTGGTATTCATTACAAGCATTTGAAAAAAAAATTGATATTAATATACAAATTATTGACATTCACGAACGTTATTATTAAAAGAACTAAATGATTGAATAAATAAAATTTTAAAAGAACACGTTTTTATACATAATTATTTTAGGTTTATTAAGTAAGTCTAAGGTGATCTGAAGTGTAAGAAATTAAAAACAAAAAAAAAAAACAATTAATTTATTGTTGCAATTAAAAACAAATAATAAAAAAATATTTGGCATTTGATGTTTAACATAAAAAAATTATTTCATTTTTCAGAGTCAATAATAAAAAAGTAGATGGCAGATATGTAGGTGGCATTTTTATACCCGTACCAACGTATGTTCGAAGGGAATACTAAATTTGCCTTACCATTTGTAACGCTAAGAAATAACGGTCTTAGATATAGACTCAAGTATATGTTTTTGATCAGCGTCAAATTCTGAATTGATTTAGCTTTGTCTATCCGTCCGCCCGTCTCAGCGATAACTCAAAAACTAATTGAACTGAGTTCTCCAAACTTTTACAAATGATTTATAAGTGCCAAAACCTTATTTAAATTGGACATGATCGGAGTACTGGTTCGGGTAGCTGGCATTTCAAAAAAACTTCAAAAGTTATTGGGCTACATTTCAGAAACTATAAAAGCTGTGATATTGAAATTTCATACGAAAGAATATATTAGTAGGACCAATGTGTTTGATAAACGTCGTTGAAATTGTTTGGCTCTTTCTGATAACTGTCATACAACTCCAAAAGTTATTTAGCATTATCTTAGAAGTTTTTAAAATTTTAATATAGATATCTCGTGAAAACAAGTGTATTATTAGGGCTGTTATGTGTGATAAAAATTATTGAAAATTCTTGACCCGTTTCTCATAGAAAATATTGAAAACACAGTACTGAAATTTTGCATAAATCAATATGGTAATATGGCAACTTAAAGTAATAGTCAGTCCCATAGTCAGTTACGGCATATTTATTGGCACATAGGATGACAAATTCGTACGGGTATCACAGAGTTGTCACGGTTAACTCTATATACTCTCGTTTATACTAAAATTTGTACTTTAAATTATTTTGAGATAATTTAAAAAACAACAGAAACTATTTTTTTTAAGCAACGAATATATAGTCAAAGGAGACAATCTGGTTGACTATCATTGGTTTAAAGCATAACGGGAATTGTGCATTGCAAAGTAGTCGAGTTTGCTGGACTGTTGGTTTGATTGACTTCATTTTTCTTCTTTTTTAGAATATGTAAATTATATTGCATATAATATATACTTGCAAAAGTGTTAAGTTTATTTTAATAACCTCTGCCGCTACAATAACAATAGCTCTTTCTTTGCTTAATATTCTTTTTATAAAATAAAATACTTATCTCTATAAATAATTTTTTGAATCAAAATAATTTTAAGTAGAAAAAAAAACCAATCCAGTCATTTATTAATTATTTATTTATTAATATGAATAATAATTAAGATTGGTAGCTTGACTAATTATTTATCGTAAGAACACTAAGAATTTCTTAAAATTACAAGATCTTAATTTAACCGCAGTTACTCTAAGAAATTGCACTTTAAAAATTCAGTCATTAAAAATCAAGTTTAAAATGTTAGGGTTATTTTGTACATTAAAACTTTTTATTCCTATTTAATATGAATTTATTTAAAGCCACCGCCAAATTATTTCCATTAAATTAAAATCATATGACTTTTCTATTGTATGTTTATTAATTAATTATTCTTTTGATTAACAAAAGTAAACAATATTTTTTGTAATAAGTATTGTTCCATATTTGAAAGTATTTTATATATAGAGAGCTATGCATTTTATTATGACAAAAATGTTGCAGACACAATGACGTTTATAGATAATATTATAATTGTGTATTTTATAAAAACATATGTGCATATAATATTAATATATATGTATATATATATATATATATATATATATATATATATATATTTAAATATAGCTAGTACACATATTTAAAAAGACATAAAGTGCTTATGTAATACAGGCTGAAAAAATATTAAAAAACAAAATAAATTTTCGTTATTATACTCGTATAATTAAAATAGAAATGTAAAAAATTTAATAAGATATTTTATTCCTAACAGAATTTCGGTTAGGTGTAGTTCATAAGATGTAGTAAATGTGTAGTTCTTAAGACTTAGATTAGATTTGCCATTATTGAAAGTAATTAATAAATAGAATACTGACAACTATTTTTCAGTTTCAAAACATTATGTGCCATATTTATTTTTTAAGTTTTTTTTTCATTTGCTCAAATTAAAGTACGTATAACATTTTAAATAAAAAAAAAATAAAAATCAATTTTGTCATTGCCAGATTCACTACAAAATTTTTGCTACAAAGTTTTCGTCTTTTCAGTACTATGTTTTTTCATTGACAATTTCGTCTCTCGCAGGGTTCGACTTTTACAGATTATTCTGTGTTATATTTATCATAAGAATGACGGAGTGGGTGGTATAGTGTGAGTGATCCTCCAACATGTTATAGTTATTTATGTTATCTTTCATATTTATTTACATTTTAATTTTATAAAATTAAAAAAAAATATTTGTAAACCATTTGAAAAGATGTATGTAATAAAATTCAGTTAGAATATAGTGTTCTTTATTATATTAATAAAATTAAAAAGCCCCTGCTAGTATTATTAATATGCGAAATTATTTTTTTAAGAACAAACGTTCTACACAAAATAGAAAGTATTTTTAAATACTAAAAATCTATAAGTTTGATCAAAATCTATCAAAAACAATTTTATTATCAATATTTCGCTATGTATACATATGTAAATGTGTAAGTATAATTGATTTTTAGAAAATTTGAACTTAAAAAAGTTTCAATTTTTTTTTGTGATTCGAATTGTAAATACCCATAATCGGAAAGATAATTGACCTATTTTTTTTAGATTATTTGAAGATTAAAGAAACCAGCTTTTAAAATTTATTTGTTTTGTCGGTATCTACATTATGTAGATACGTCATGTTTGTAGGCGAAAAAATTTAATTGGGTTTTTGATTCTTTTAGAGTTTACCAGTAAATATTAGCAAATCTTTTTGAAATATGTGTGAAAAATTTCATATTCTTTTTTCAAAAAAAATTAAAATTTTTCAGATTACGATATATATAATAATAATATATGTACATATTTAAAAAAAAAAGCTCACCACAGTCTAGTATAAAAAATTGCGACCTTGAATACTGATCTACATGATTTCTTTTATAAGATTTGGCGAAATTTTATTTTTATAGGTATGTTAATATCGTACAGACTTTCTCTCAATTATTCTTTATTTTTGGAATGTTTATCAAACTTTTGAATTTATATCTATGTATGTATGTTTGTATTTTTTGCTTTGATTATTTCACTATTGTAGTAAATAAATATTTAAATAAATGAAGAGAATGTAGAGAAAAACTTTGACATTTTGCTTTTATGCATATCTTCCACAATGAATCTATATAATGTAATACAATATTTATTCATTTTGTTCTTGATGTTTTGATTTCGATTGAAAAAAATTGATTCAAAAATTTTTTTTTTGTTTAACAATTAATTTTTTTAAAATAACAATTATATTAATTAAAATTAATGTATTGTTGAATTTTGATTATGAATGCGAAACCAAAATTGACATTAGTGTAATGTATTCGATTTAAGCTTTTGGTTTGTAAAATTACACATTTCTGTCCAACGATTTATATGTTTAGAGTTTCTATTTCTTTGTATGAATGTGCATGTAGTTTCAAGCGTATAAATAATGAAAAGAATCTATTGAGGTTTTAAAAAAACACAATATATTGCGATTCATAGCCAAAACGCGTTGTATTAAGGTGCCCAAATAAATATTATGAATAAATTGATTATGACTGGACCTGATTAATCATCTGTACTGTTTTGCTCTTATAAAAAAACTGTCAAAAAAATTTAGCATATTTGTATAATTTTGTATTAATTTGGGAGAAAAA